GGAGGAGGAGGGAGGAGGAGGAGGAGGGGAGGGGAGGAGGAGGAGGAGGAGGAGGAGGAGGAGGAGGAGGAGGAGGAGGAAGAATGGGTGGCCCGGCGATCGCAGCACTGGGGAGAAGTTGGTGACCACGATGGAAACCACCGCCTCCGCAAGTTCACATAAAAACTCCAGGATGGGCGGAATTCCGTATTTGTGGGGCAGCGTTTCCCACTTGCGCTCATGGCCCATTCGGCACCGCGCGCAGCTCAAGCAATTATGTGCGCCAGTACTTCAAAACTTACCCTGGCAATGCACCTTGAAAGCAGCAAAAAGTGTCATGAGAGACCTGTGGAACCTGCAGGAGATGTGGGACTATCGAGGCCTGCAAGATCAGATGGAGCTGTGAAACCTATGGGACCTATGGGACATGCGGGACCTGCGGGACCTGTGGGACCTGCGGGACTTGCGGAACTTCCGAGACCCGCGAACCCTCCGGGGCCTGTAGGACCTCTGGGACTTGTCGGACCTCTGGGACAAACGAGCCCTGCTGGAGCTGTGGGACCTGTGGGACCTCGACTTGTGGGACCTGCGGGACCAAAGAGACCTGCGAGACCTGTGGGATTTGTGCGGTCAATGGGAAATGCGGAACCTGTGGGGCCTGTGGGACATGAGAAACCTGTGAGACCTGTGGGACCTGTGGGGCCTGTGGGGCATGTGGGACCTGTGGGACATGTGCGGCCTGTAACACTTGCGAGACCCGTGGGACTTGTGGCACTGGTGGGACCCCTTGGACCTGTGAGACCCGTGGGACCTGTGTGGTCCGTGAGAACCTGTGGGAGCTGTGAGACCTGCTGGACCTGTGGGTCCAGAGGGACCTGTGGGACCCGCTGTGCCTGTGGGAAATGTAAGACCTTGGGGGCGTGTAGGACATGTGTGTTCTGTGGGATCAGTGGGGCCTGTGGGACTTGCGCGGCCTGCGAGACTTCTTGGAACTGTGGGACCTGTCGGGCATGTGGGTCCTGTGAGACCTGGTGGGCCTGCAGGATCAACGAGACCTGCGTGACCTGCGGGGCCTGTGGGACCTGTGGGCGTTGTGGGAGCGGTGGGACATGTGGAACCTGTGGGACCTCTAGGATTCATGGGACATGTGAGAACGATGGGATTTGTTGGACCAATGGGACGTGTGGGGCCTGCGAGACCTTCCAGACTTGCGAGGCCTGCGGCGCCTGCAAGATTTGTTGGACCTGCGGGACCTGTGGGACATGTGGGATACGCGGGACATGCGGGGCTTGTGAGACTTGCGACAGCTGTGGGCCTTGGAGGAGTTGTGGGACCCGTGGGACCCGTGGGACATATGGGAACTGTGGGACCAGTGGGACCTGCAAGGCCTGACAGACGTGCGAGACCTGTGGGACATGTGGGACCTGCGGGGGCTGCAAGACCTGCGCGACCTGCGAGATCTGCGAGACCTGTGGGCCATGTGGAAACTGTGGGACCTGTGGGGCCTGTCAGATATTTGAATCCTGTGGGACCTGCGACCGCCGAGAACCAAACTAAGGCCCTGAATTGTGGGACCGCCGGGCACCCAAATAAGGACCTTATTTGGTACCCGGGGAACTCCTTATTAAATTTCGTGGATCGACAGATGTCTCGTGCCTTGGCACCATCGAGGCCCCCAGAGAGGATTTATTAAGGAACCCGAAGGTTCCTTACGTCCACCATGTTTTCTTGGAGCGGGGGGACCCAAAATTCAAACTCCCCAGAGTGACCGTCGGGGGCCCTCAACTAGCCACCCCACTTGGAAACGCGACGCCACTGTTCAGCCGAGACCTGAACGCGACTCTGATGCCGTCACCGCCGCACCTGCACTGCATCCGCTAATCCGCAAGCAAGCCCAAGAAACAGGCCATGGAGGCGAGCAGAACCCCAGACGGCACCAGCTGACACCCAGGGGAGCTCACGACGGCCCACGATGGCCCCGAAGTGTTCCACTGAGCCAGAGAACGGCCCAAGAGTGCCCCAAAAGGCCCCCAAGACAACCCAACAGGACCTCGTGACAAGCCCAATGCGGCCTGAGAGTAACCCGTGAGAGACCAAAGAGAGGCAAGAACAACGGACGCAGAATGGGGACTCACGACGGGGGGGCGGAAGAGTGGGGGGGACGACAACGAAAACGAAGGAGTGCGCCCCGAAACGACGTGGATCAGCGTGTCACATGTTGCGGCCATTGCACGGGCATGGGCGACGATCTGTCGCGTAGTACGGTTTTCTTGGCGATGCTCTAGAGCTCACCGCGCCGAAACATGCGCAATCGCAAAGCGCGGGACGTGCTGCGAACAAATCGGCATAACGCGAGCGCCTGGTTATTCACACGCAACCGCAGTGCGTATGACTTGTCCACGAAGTCGCGCTCTCCACGAGACGACCGGGCTCTCCATTTTGAGATGCGCGCAGTGAGAAAACTCAAAGCAAACAATGCGATGAGAGGGAAGGGCAGGGCAAAGGGAAGAGGCCGGGCGAAAGGCGAACCACAAATGATCACCGCCCAAACGAACGTGGCAAGCGCAAGCGCTGAACAAAACAGAAAGAACGACATTCCTATGTTTTGGCGCGTCGCCTAGAAGGGAAGCGGGGCGGGGAGGGCGATAGCCCAGGAGGAACAAACTTGGCGGCATGCTAGACACTACATGAGGCCTCGCCACGCGGAGGCGCTCTGCCCGCATGAACGAGCGCATCGTCGCCCAAAATCGGCGCAATCACGCCGCGCGAAGCATCGCTGCGCGGGGGCAATCCGCCCATGCAAGACATGCGCAGCTAACATGCGAAACTGGCGTTACGCGCCGCCTTAACCATAGTGCTGCAATGCCGCAGCGACCACATTTCTACTACCACGACCTCCCCTGATCAGCGCGCGCATGGGTTGTGGCAAAGGGGCCCCGCCGCGCGCGATCCACACTCAGCCTCGCAAAAGCACATTGAAGGGAATCTCCACGGGAAAACCGCCGCAAGTGGCCAGGCTGCAACCTTTCGAAGGAGCGTTGCGTCAAACCCGCAACACTCGCCAACGACAGCCGCAACGCAGAAACGACCGACAAAAAACATAATTTAAATGACGTCCAAAACTTCGGGTTGCGGTGGTTTCTTGCGCGGTCAGTGGGGGCAGGAGCGAGACGGGAGAGCAACGGGGAAGACAGCAGACAAGGCCTGGTGGCGTTACTCCTCCTTCGCGCTGCTTCCGCTGCCATCGCGGCTGTCTTGGCCGCTTCCCAAACCGTGTTGGCCCACTGGGTCAATCAATGCAACGTGTCCTTGACACCCCACGGAACTCCGCAGAGGCATTCACGGAAATAGCGGATGGGCAGGACTCAGCGACCCGATGTGCAGATGCGCTGTGAGAGTGACATGTCAACAACGGCAGCAGGATCAGTCGATTGCCAAGGTCATCACGCAAAGCCGCATCAGCAATCGGGAACCAGAACATCCTCCTCGAAATCAAGAGCAAGTTTGTTCTACCCCCCCCCCGCCCCGCCGCCACAATGTCAATGTTCAGCGACGCGCGCAGTGCGGCCAGCGGTGTCCGAAGAAACATGTCAAAAACACCAACTTCGACGCTGACATTCAACTGTGGGGTGCGGGGGCGCCGCCAAGTTGCGGAAACGAGTTGCTCTTGATTTCGAGGAGGGTTGTAAAATAACGCAGAACGGCCTGACCAAACACTTCCAGAGGTGAGCTCCAAACATGTATGTCAAGTTGATGAGCTTCTTCGGCATCCCGCGCGGCCGGCGTACCGCTGCGGCGTGCAACCAGGCTGACCAGACCAGCCAATCGGCGGCGAGCCCGGGGGGAGTGAAAAGTGGAGGGCCTCCTCGGAAGGCTCGGAAGACTCTGGGCCTTTTGAACAGTTTCTAGGCCTTCCCCGAGGACGCAGAACACTTCTCAGAACCTGAGAAGCCCCGCCGCCTTCTGAGAGGGCCTCCTCCTCCTCGCCTCTCCCCCTCGCTCGCCGACGAACCAAGGGGAAGCCCGGAAAGGCCCGTCGCCGGCGGCCTCTGCCGCGGCTCCTTGGTGGGCGGCGCCAGCAGCGCTGCGCCCGCCCTTGCCGGCGGCCCAGGGGCCGCCGCCGGCGGCACGAACCCCTCCTTCCAGGGCGGCAAGATCTGTACACGTCCACCTCAGGCCCATCATGCGTCCAGGAGCGGTGCACACTGAGAAGAGCCAGGACGAAGACCATCGGGTGAGGATGAAACGAGAATCTCTGAGATCCGGCGGCTCTGGAGGATCTCTCGAGCGCCGCGGCCTTCCCAGAGCGTTCCGGAACGCTCAGAGAGCGTTCCAGGACGTTCTGGAACGGCTTCATCCAAGTCCTAGCTCCTAGCTCCGTCCGACGTACGACGCTCCCTGGCTCAGCCAGCGAAGCATATACACACAGATCCGATATCTCGATTTTTGTTCCATACGGGGCCCCGGAAGTCTAGACCCACTCCCAGGGACTAGTTTTTCATCCTGAATCGTTTTTCGGTGGCCCCAGAGCGTGGCGAGGTCCTGTATCCTCCTCCTCCTCCTCCTCCTCCTCCTCCTCCTCCTCCTCCTCCTCCTCCTCCTCCTCCGCCTCCTTCTCTGTTTGCCTTCATCGATGACCGAGGCGCCTGGGGCATTCAACGGACAGAAGGGCAACGACCCATGCACGATATTGGTAGCCTCACTCAGACTACCAGCCTGGGGCCAAAGGAGACTCTTCATCGGCGGCTGGCCAACGTGCTTCGCGGGGCTGAGCTTCAAACGCAAGACGGGCCTCTTCGGGGCCAGCTAACGATTGCCTGCGGGGACGGGGGCAACCACTTCGAGCGCGTTTCTTTATGTTCGGCGATGACGGGCATTACTGGGGGGGGGGTATGACGTAACGGCCCCCCCCGCCGTGTGGCTCCGGCACCACAGCCGAGCCCCCGCGCACGAGGCGACGAGCGACAAGCGACGACGACGACGACGACGACGACGACGACGCGAGCAGCATGTAGGTGGCGATCTGCCCCACTGCGCCTGTGTACACCACGACGCTTGCGTGCACCACAGCGCGCGTGTACACCACAGCGCCTGCGTACATCGCAACAACCGTGTGCAGCGCAGCGCCTGTGTATACCGCAGTGCTTGCGTACACTACAGCACTGGTGCACATGTGCACACCGCAGCAACCATGTGCAACACAGCGCCTGTGTATACACCACAATGTTTGCGTGCACCGCGGCGCCTGTGCACGTCACAGCGCCTGTCTACACCACAGCATCCGCGTGCAACGCAGCGCTATTGTACACCACAGCGCATGCGTGCATAGGACAGGTAGAAAGAGCCTGTACGTGAGGATCTGCTGCGGAAGCGCGACGCCAGGAAAGTGCAGATAATCGAATGCGACGTTCTTCCCTCCCCCTTTCTCCTCCACTTCAACCTCCTCCTCCTCTTCCTCCTCTTCCTCCTCCTCCTCCTCCTCCTCCTCATCCTTACCCCCTGTCGTGCGGGTTGGCGCCACAGCGCACGTGCGCGTTTCAGCGTGCACCGCAGAATTGTGTATTGAATCGGCCCACTTGGTTCTCGGACGGTCAATGTTGCTGGAGCCTCCTGGACGCAGATGGGAGGAGTTACGGTGATGCGGGCGAACTCGGAAGGACTCGCAGGTTCCCCTGGCGCCCTTTTTGTCCATAAGGATTACTTTCGAATGTTTTCAGTGGAATCCACAAGCGCTCCATTCTGTCATAACGATTCCTTCCAACATTCTACATACAACAGTGATGTTGTGTTGCACACGGCTGCTGAAGTGCACGCACGCGCTGTGTTGCACACGGCAGATGTGGTGTACGCTGGCGCTGTGGTGTACACAAGAACTGTTGTGCCCGCGCGCACGGTGGCACAACCTGACGCTGTGTTGCACGCGGCTGCTGTGGTGTACATTGGTGGCGGTGTGGAGTACACAGGCGCCGTGGTGCACGCGGGCACTGAGGTGTACACAAGCGTTGTGGTGCAAATCGCCACCTACATGCTGGTGCCACCCGTCCTCCATCATTCCTAGGCATTCCCAGGCGCCGCCTGCGCGAAGCATGACGTCATCGACCCCCTCCCAACCCCAAATGATTGCCGTCATCGGCCCGGAATAAAAAAAAATATCCAGGCGAAGGACCCAACCATACGCAATTGTGAATAACGCTTTGTGGGTGCCGCTTTCGGTGGGGCTCCTTATGGGGCCACGAAAGGCGTGCCACGAAACGCTGTCCTGGGCGTACGGGGCGCATGAGGCGGTAGCACTGGGGCCTTCGGTGGAGCTCCCTATGGGGCCACGAAACGTGTGAGGGGTGTGCCGAAATGGGTGCGGCGCCGCCATGCGAGCGCAGCCACTGGGGCCTTCGGTGGAGCTCCCTATGGAGGCCACGAAACGTGTGAGGGGTGTGCCGAAATGGGTGCGGCGCCGCCATGCGAACGCAGCCACTGGGGCCTTCGGTGGAGCTCCCTATGGGGCCACGAAACGTGTGGGGGTGTGCCGAAATGGGTGCGGCGCCGCCATGCCAACGCAGCCACTGGGGCCTTCGGTGGAGCTCGCCTATGGGGCCACGAAACGTGTGAGGGGTGTGCCGAAATGGGTGCGGCGCCGCCATGCGAACGCAGCCACTGGGGCCTTCGGTGGGGCTCCCTATGGGGCCACGAAACGTGTGAGGGGTGTGCCGAAATGGGTGCGGCGCCGCCATGCGAACGCAGCCACTGGGGCCTTCGGTGGAGCTCCCTATGGGGCCACGAAACGTGTGAGGGGTGTGCCGAAATGGGTGCGGCGCCGCCATGCGAACGCAGCCACTGGGGCCTTCGGTGGAGCTCCCTATGGGGCCACGAAGCGTGTGAGGGGTGTGCCGAAATGGGTGCGGGCGCCGCCATGCGAACGCAGGCCACTGGGGCCTTCGGTGGAGCTCCCTATGGGGCCACGAAGCGTGTGAGGGGTGTACGAAACGGGTGCGGCGCCGCCATGCCAAACGCAGCCACTGGGGCCTTCGGTGGAGCTCCCTATGGGGCCACGAAACGTGTGAGGGGTGTGCCGAAATGGGTGGTGGGGAGGCATGCGAACGCAGCCAGTGGGGCCTTCGGTGGAGCTCCCTATGGGGCCACGAAACGTGTGAGGGGTGTGCCGAAATGGGTGCGGCGCCGCCATGCGGACGCAGCCACTGGGGCCTTCGGTGGAGCTCCCTATGGGGCCACGAAGCGTGTGAGGGGTTTGCCGATATGGGTGCGGCGCCGCCATGCGAACGCAGCCACTGGGGCCTTCGGTGGAGCTCCCTGTGGGGCCACGAAACGTGTGAGGGGTGTGCCGAAATGGGTGCGGCGCCGCCATGCGAACGCAACCACTGGGGTCTTCGGTGGAGCTCCCTATGGGGCCACGAAACGTGTGAGGGGTGTGCCGACATGTGTGCGGCGCCGCCATGCCAACGCAGCCACTGGGGCCTTCGGTGGAGCTCCCTATGGGGCCACGAAACGTGTGAGGGGTGTGCCGAAATGGGTGCGGCGCCGCCATGCGAACGCAGCCACTGGGGCCTTCGGTGGAGCTCCCTATGGGGCCACGAAACGTGTGAGGGGTGTGCCGAAATGGGCGCGGCGCCGCCATGCGAACGCAGCCACTGGGGCCTTCGGTGGAGCTCCCTATGGGGCCACGAAACGTGTGAGGGGTGTGCCGTCATGGGTGCGGCGCCGCCATGCCAACGCAGCCACTGGGGCCTTCGGTGGAGCGCCCTATGGGGCCACGAAGCGCGTGAGGGGTGTGCCGTGATAGTGGGAGGAGGGAGGAGGGAGGGGGGAGGAGGCGGAGGAGGAGGAAGGAGAGGGAGAGGAGAGGAGAGGAGAGGAGAGGAGAGGAGAGGAGAGGAGAGGAGAGGAGGAGAGGAGAGGAGGAGGAGGAGAGGAGAGGAGAGGAGAGGAGAGGAGAGGAGACGCGGGGCACCGTCTCTTCAAAACGAGGACCCAACACCACAGGATGGTTGGGGAAAACAGGCTCCAGCCGCGTCCGCGCGCACGACGACGATGAGCGACGAGCGACGAGCAACGAGCCACGAGCCACGAGCGACGACGACGACGACGACGACGACAACGACGACGACGACGTCGACGACGACGACTGCGGACCAGACTTCTTTGTGGATTCCTACGCGGACACCTACGCGGATCCCAATGCGCACGGCGGCAGTGCCCACTGGGGGGGGAGCGTTGCGTCATAGGGGGGGGGGGGGGGGGGGGGGGGGGCGGGGGCCATGACGCCCGTCATGCCCCACGCAATCAAGAGGCGGGTTCTCCCCAACCGTCCAACCTCTGTACTGGGCGGGCCCGCAGGGAAACTTCAGCTCGGACGCCCGCTTCTCCTGGCGACCGAGTTTGATCGTGGGGGGCGCCCCCTCGCAGGGACGCTCCAATGGCGAGATGCCACCCCAGGCGTGCCCCTCACAACAAAGACATGCAAACACTGTCTGGCCCTTGCCGGGCCCAGGCGGAAGCGCCGAAGCCATGTAGACAGGTGTCTGCACCAGCGCATGGCCTTGCAGGGATTGATATGTGCTGAATTGTTCCTTCTCAGCGTCAGTGGGGGGTCCTCTCTGCCGCCGTGGTCGGCTGACTCGCGGCCTTCCGGCACTGGCGCCGCCCCCCTTTGCCCGACCCCGCCACCGGCCCCCCCTCCAACGAAGGAAGGGGGAGAGAGTCGAATGTCTCGCGCACGGCCATCATGACCTCCTGCGAAGCGGCCCACTGGGCTACCACCTTGACCAGTTGGCCAATGCTTTCGAGCTGGCCCACATAGTGGTCAGCAGCCTTGCTGCCCGACCATTCGTAGGACGAGATTATGCCTTTTGATACTGCTTCGAACGGCAGGTGGGCCCTCACCTTGATCGCCCTGCATATTGGAAGCTGTCTGTGGAATTCCCCCCCGATATGTCATGTGAGACTGGCGGCTTTACATCCCAACAACGGCTCATTAATACAATCCACAGTGCCGCGGCGATCCGCGTAGAAGGTCGCGGTGCCCTGCGCGCGCCCCCTGGCGGCCATCAGTAGCGCAGTGTCCTCGCAGCCGCTGGTCACTTGGAAGCGGGCTAACTCCCAGGGGGCGGCCCAACGCACAACAACGACGATGTGTTCGCCGTCCCCAATCATGACCAGGCACCAGCCAGCTCGCCTGGCCATGGGAAACGTCGGGAAAAGGGCGGAGCCGTCCGTGAATATCTTCCCAGAGTGACCCCCCCTTCAGGCCGACGGATCCACGCAGCCTCGCCTCCGAGATCGAGAAGTGGCGAGAGACCAACTCATGGAGGAATGGTAAAAGACCCGAGGCCGCCTCTCGGGGCCTTGGCCTGCGATTTGCATTATTGAAGCCACCTTAGGAACCGAAGATAGGATGGCCCGCCTTCTCTCTACTGCCCAATGGGATCAACGGAACTACGGTGCCAGAATGTACCCACAGCGTTCGGGCACAGCTGGCAACGATCCGCCTGAGACTTGCCGCGCCTATACTGTTTGGCCCGGCGCCACTTTTGTTGGACACTTAAAGACCGCAGGCTATCCTTGTGTGGTCCGGTCCAAGTGCCGGAGATTCTTGCCTCCAGGAAATGAACCTGGGGCCGCCAAAAGATGGGCCGGACCCATGTTTGATCATCGTCTATCCCAACGAGCATCATGACATTTGACAAGCTTTTGGCCGCGCGAGCGGCCATCCATTGGACCTGCCTGGGCCCAAGATTGCGAAGGTGCATCGACTCTCCTGTATCATGTACTATCGCGGCAGCCAGGGTGGCCGACCATCCAATCTGCTGCAACGTTAGAAGGCAAACGCGGGCTGGACTCGGCCTGGCGGCCTGGCCGAGGTCAGCAGCTGCCGCGTTCAAGGATGCTGAGGGGGCGCCTTCCACGCCAAACCGCCGGAGCCCAGAGCCCCACAACCTGGCTATGATACCGTTTCTGCAGGTCCATGACCCTTCCCTTCTCGGACGGCGGCAAGCGTCAGTCTTGCCGAGGTGCCCTTCTCGCTCTTGCGTGGATGCTGTTGAGGGCGGCCCCTCTCAGAGGATGGAGCCGTCGCCCCCGAAAGACCCGCCACGGCAGCCCCCCAGAGGGCCGTCGCCTGAGGCCCCGCTCTCTGACTGCTGCCCACCTCGGCACCGCGCGTTTCAGCTTGAGCGTTTTCCGGTAACTCTTGAAGCCTTCCCCGATGCGCTTGGCCGCCGCGGTCGTCACTCGCCTCTTGTTCGAGTGAGCAGTGCTAGGGGACTTCGCGGAGAGGGTGCGCGAGAAGAGCTGTTTGTGCCATATGCTGAATTAGTTCTTGGCTAGCTCAATCAATGAAGCAATGTCGCGGGTTGTCCTTCTCAGAGAGGATGAGCTCCAGCCTCTCGAAGCCGGCAGCCAGGACCTTGCCTGCCTCACGTCACTGTTGGGCAACAAACTTCCGACTACCGATATGCTGGACATGCACATCATCCACCACATTACTGACCAGGACAGCAGGGAGTCTGTTAGCCAGGGAGATGGCCATGCGACCACCAAGGAACACCCTGCCAAAACCGTCCCACTGACCCAGAACGACGCGGAAAGAACACTCTGGAACGTAAGCGTCCTGAGCCCTGAATGCAGCTGGCGTGCCAAATCTAACAGCCGAGTGGGCAAGCCAGTGTTTCTCCCCTTCTCAAACAGGTGGTAGTGGGAGATGCGGTGATAGAATTTCGAGAGAACAAAGGACAACGTGTCAGTGTCATAGTGTGCTATCGAAGCGAACTGGTTGTACATGCTACACTCACAACCAGCAGCATCACACTCACAATTAGCGGTGCCCCAGAACTGCCCAACATTGTCACTTGTATTCCTGCTCCCGCTGCTTGCTGAGATCCGGTCGGAGCCGCGCCCAAACCCTGAATGCTGACGAATGCGATTGGGCGAAGGTCCTCACTCTCTGGCTTGCAGTAAGCACAACCATTGTGGGGAAGCATGGAGGCCTGGCGGGGGGCGCTTCCCACAGCCTTGCTCATCCGAGGGGGATTGACCTGCTTGCGCTCTTTGATGTGTATGTGGGCCGAGCGAACCCCTGAACGACCCCGAGTCCTGAGCCCAGGTTTGCCACTTATTCCAGCGCTTCCTAGACTCCCTGGAGATAACTTTGCTAGCAGCCTCAGACACCCCAAGGACGTGTTGTGCGAACTCACTCCCTCCAAGTTGGGCAACCTCTAGAAAAGAAGCGCTGACCTCGAACTCCAGCTCATCAAACTCAGGATCCAAGAGGTCCTGATGTAGCTCCTCAAGGTGACCTACTGTGTCGTCCAGGTGTCCAGCTCCAAAGCCCCCAGGATTGCCCTAGTACGCATTCACCCGTCCTACCAGGCTGAGCAGTGACTTCCAAGACCGTAAGGTAGGGGTGCCGTTGGCATGCCACTTCTTGTGGAGTATCTGATGGAGCTGCACTGGCACTCTCTGGGCACCCTCTGCCCGACCACAGTGCCGACCCGTCTGCTGATCAAATAAATCGAAATGATCGCACAGATTGGCCTCCATATTCGTGAGCCACTCCTTCCAAGCATCAGGACCACTCTGGTTCGGAAAGCTCACGCACACAGCCATTGGACCGCTTGGTCGGGAAGGGGGCCCAAGCGCTTCGGACATACAGTCTAGTCAAGCTCCTGTTCCTCCTCCTCCACCTCCTCCTCGTCTTACTCTTCTCCTTATTATGAATATTACAATTCCTCTTCTTCTTATTATTTCTAGTCGTCTTATTCGACTTATTATTAGTATTCGTTTTCCTTCAATTATTGTCAATAGTTGTTTGTATGTTGATGCGCATTCTTATTACGAGTAATATCATTATTTGTATTATTGATATTATTATTTGTCTTCCTCCTCCTCCTCCTCCTCCTCCTCCTCCTCCACCTCTTCCTCCTCCTCCTCCTTTCCTCCGCCTCTATAGAGGCCGAGAACGGCGAACCACCTCCGCCTTGATTTGTTTCCTCCATCACGGTGGGTCTCTGGGCACCGCTCCTGGGCCCCGGCTGGGCCTGGCCAGCGGCGGTGGACAGGTTTCTCTTACCTTCGCCTCGAAGAGATGGAACAGAGCGGGGGACCGACCGTCCCGGCATTCCTACAGTCCTACCACGAAATGTTCTTAGAACCCAAAGATGTTCCAAGAACATTTCGTGGAAACCACAAACGGCTTCGAACACCGCCGGTGGGGCTATAGGGGAGCCAGGACGCTTCGCCGCTGCTTGAGGAAAAGAGCGGGGGACCAACGACGGACCGACCAGAAACCAGCTCTCCCAGGACGAAGCTGCGCGGCGTCAGAGGCGCGAGGGGGGCCCGCACGCCGTGGGACCCACGGCGCACGACTGCCGCCGGCCCGTGGACCCCTACAGTGAAGGGGAACTGGGACACACAAATAAATGGACACAGATAACCAGATTCCCCATACTTTCCAATCGTTTTTGGGGCTTTTCGTCTTCCCCCCCACTTCCCATACTTTCCCATATTTCCCTGGGGATCGACGATGAATGGTGTCTGTGTGTGTGTGTGTGTCTTTACCCCTCCTGATACAGATCTCGCCGCCCCACCTTCGTGGGAGCCCGCGGGGCGGGCGGCGACCCGGCCGGGTCGTGCGGCGCCGCCGGCGGCGGCGCGGCCGGGAGGGGCGGGTCCGGGGCCGCCGGCGGCGGCGCGCCGCTGCCCTGGGCCCCAGGCCCCCGACGTCATGGGCTTGCTCACAGCGTCGAACGTCGACCCCCGGTCGGAGAGCAAGGAACCCGACCCTGAGACCCCAGGACGTCTATCGATGTTTGGTGTGGGAGCATCACGCTCTCCAGAGAAACACCATCGAAACGCAAGAAACTCGGCACCCTGGAGGCAAGCAGGGTGTGTCTTGGCATGGGTCTCCACTGGTAACGCCAGAAGCACAAGACCCTCGGAGCTCCGCGCGGACATCTCGGATCGGCGCTGGGGCCCACTGGCGGTGCCTCGGGCACCGCCCCCGGCGCGCTCCGCGCGCTAGGGAGGGGGGCCCAGCGCCGAGCTGAGAAAATCGCGCGGACCTCTGGGGATAGTCGAGTTCGGGATCCAGGCGGGATAAGAAAGATCTGTCGTCAAGAGCCTCCATGGTCCTTCTAGGCGGCCTTTTTGGAGATGTGGAAAGCACGCAACTCATGTGACAGACTATGGTGAAATGGTACATTGGTCCCTCTCGTGGAGCCTCTTTGGACATGTGGGGTGATCACAATTCCTGTGAAATAGTACGGTAAACTGGTACAGTGGATCCTCTCGGGGAGCTTCCCTGGAGGATTCGCGACAGTTGCCTTTTTCGAAAACAAGCGTCCTGCTGGAGACCTCGTCGAACAACTGATCGTCGCAAACTCAGCGAATCTTCGGAAATGTGAGCTTCGCCTGAGGCATACTTACAAAAATGGCATGTTCGCGACAATGCCTTTTACAAAAAACAGCGTCTTGGTTGAGACATCATTGAACCACGAATAACAGCGAATTCGGCAACTCTTCGAAACTGCGCGTTTCGCCTAAGACAGGCTCAAACTGATAGTACGGAGTGTCCATGGTGCTATGCATGAGATGAAGACCAGAGCTGCGTCTGGAACTTCTCAGGGGAGCGTAGAATTCGGCCTCCGCGCCTGCTCTGGCAACTGGACCACAGTCAACCCCGTGGACAAAGGGATACAAAGGGGAAGTGCGTTAATATCCGGGGGATGCGGTTATGTTTATGTCACTGTTTGTTCCCCGACCCAAAGGTCTCCACCCATCCCCCCGGACCGGCTCCTCATCATCCTGAGCCGAGCTTGAGGGCCTCGAGGCTCGTGCCGGGCCCTCAAAGAGGCTGAAACCAGCGAAACACCGCCCGTCGTGGTTTCTTCGTGCCTCGAGGACTAGCTGCTCATTCGGGGGACCTTCTTGGAGCCACTCCCTCCACTCGAGCGTCGAAGCTGCGTCCAACGTCCGTCGACTCGAGTCGAACCTGAGTCGAACCCGAGTCGAACCTGAGTCGAACACTCGAGTCGCAGTGGAGCCCACCAGAGGCGTTAGATGAGCACCAGGACGCTCCCCCAAAGCGAGCATCGAACCAGGGGGTCCGGGACGCGGGAGCCTGCGGGGCTGCGGGGGGCGGCGCGGCCGGCTCGCTCGGCGCCGCCGGCTCGCTCGGCGCACCGTGGGCGGGGGCCGGCGGCGCGCCCGCGCCCAGGCCCTCTGCACGGGGGCCCAGGGAGCGGCCGTGCGGCAGGACGACGACGACGACGACGACGACGACGACGACGACGGCGACGACGACGACGACGACGACGACGACGACGACGACGACGACGACGACGACGACGACGACGACGGCGGCGGCGGCGGCGGCGGCGGAGGCGGAGGCGGCGGAGGCGGCGGCGGCGGCGGCGCTGGCTGGCTGGCTGGCTGGCTGGCTGGCTGGCTCGCTGGCTCGCTGACTGGCTGGCTGGCTGGCTGGCTGGCCGGCTGGCCAGGCGGCAGATTCAGAGGCGGGCGGGGAAGGCCTCGCCACGCGAAGCGACGCCGTGCGAACGGCTGGACAGGGCGGTGCTTGGCTGCGGGGCACGGAAGGGGAGAACCCCCCCACAAACGGACAAGCCAAGCACAGGGGGGGAGTCCGAAGCGTGGGGGGGGGGCGGGGCGCCCGAAGCCTCGAGCGCATGCGGGGGCGAAGGGACCTGGTACCACAGAGCGAATAGCTGCGAGCGTAGCCAGTGGGATTGAGAGGCGACTGGGCTGAAGAAACCTGGCTCAGCTGTCAGCTTACATCTTGCGCCCCTCTTCGTCTTGACGGACACACGCAAATTATCCATAGCGTGCAAGGAGAAAGGGCCCTGGTCCCCCCCAAAAAGAAGCTAAAGCTAATAATAATAATAATAATAATAATAATAATAATACTAATAATAATCATCATACTCATAATCATAATAATAATAATAATAAAAATAGTAATAGTAATAATAATAATAGTAATAAAAAAAAATAATAATAGTAGTAGTAATAATAAGAAGAAGAAGAAGAAGAACACGACGAATAATACGAAGAAGACGAAGACTAACAGCTCTGAAGACGAGCGGCGGTGCTATCATCCTCGTCGATCCGTCCGTTGCCTGCTCACCCTCCGGCTCGCGGCCCGCCCACGGGAACCGCGAACCCGCCGCGAGCCCGCGACCACCGCCCGCGCCCCGAGCCCGTGGCCGGCGCCCGCGGCCCGCCTCCCGCGCCCGCGCCGACCTCTGCTCGCGGCCCCGCGCCCGCGACCCGGGCACGCAGGCCGCACCTGCGACCCGCCTCTGCGACCCACGCGCGCCAGGCCCGCGCCCGCGGCCAACCCGACCCGCACGCGGCCAGCCTGCGGTCCGCACGCGCCCGGGGGCCACGCCCGCGGCCCGTCCCCGCGCATCGCACCTGCGACGCCCGCGAGGCCCCTCCGCCGACGCGCGCCCGCGGCCAGGCGCCCGCCGACGCGCGCCCGCGACTCGCCCGAGCCGCGCGCGACCTGCCTGCCACCAGGGCCCGCCGCAGGCGGCGCTTTTGACTGCGGAGCGTTGTCCGTGCTCCGCGCTCGTTGGCGGAATCGCCCCGGAGCTGGTCGGTCTGGCGGGATCGGGCGCGGGCTGGGCGTCAGGAGCTCACGTTCGACCCCTCGGCCGATGTCCGTGTCGCTCTCTCCTCCCCCTGGTTGTCGTGACCTCATTCCTCTGAGCGGGGTGGTTCGAGTAGAGCTCGCAGGGAGACCATCAACACGGTAAAACAGGAACTGAAGGATAAAGACTCAAAGGAAGGTGATGCGCTGCAAAACGGAACGTGTATGCTGCCTGCCCCCGGGGAAAATAAAATACGGCATGAACAGAAACTGTCGCAGGTCCGCGCGGATATATTGCATCTGCGCTGGACCACCCTCCCTTGCGCGCTGAGGGAGCCAGGGGCGGCACCAGAGGCGCCGCCAGGGGCTCCAGCGCCGATCCAAGAAATCCGCGCGAAACTCCGAAATGATATGCTAATGTTGTTGTTGTTGCTGTTGCTGTTGCTGTTGCTGTTGTTGTTGTTGTTGATGATGTTGCTGTTGTTGTTGTTGTTCGTTGCGACCACCGTCCCGGCCCCAGCTTGTTGTTGATATCTTGTTCTTCTTAGAAAATGATATTTTATCATTCTTGGTAAATTGAAAACTTGGAGTTGGCGGAGCTTAGCCCCCCCCCCGGGGCCGGGACGGGCGCCTTCACTGGGTCGTGGCCCCCGACCAGGCCACCGGGGCCGGGACGGGCGTCGGCACACGGGGCGTGCGACCAACAAACCGAAAACCGTAACCATTTTGGCTCAAGGCGGGCCGCGCGCACGCTGAGCGCGCGGGCGGGGGCCAGGGCGGAGGCCGCCCGCCATGGCGGAGGGCCGCGGGCGGGCCGCGGGGTGCTCGCCGCGTCCGCGGCGCGCGGCCGCCCGCCGCGGCGCCGCGCCCGCCGCCGCCGCCGCCCTGGTCTGCTGCTTGGCGGCGGGAGCCGGCGGCAGCGGCTGGTCCCCTCCTCACTCTCACGCCCCTCGCGTTCCTCCTCACCCTCCTCATCTCCTCCTCCTCTTCCTCCTCCTCCTCTTCCTCTTCCTCCTCCTCCTCCTCCTCCTTTTCCCTCCTCCTCCTCCTCCTCCTCCTCCTCCTCCTCCTCCTCCTCCTCCTCCTCCTCCTCCTTCGGTATCCAGCCTCACGGAGTTGAGCAGTACCACGGCGCCCACCGCTACGGAGTTGAGCAGTTCCACGGTATCCAGCCTCACGGAGTTGAGCACTACGGTGTCCAGGACTACGGAGTACCACGGTGTACCACATACATGTATACACACTTACACATTGTTAGGCTTACATATATATGTGTACATACATTCACATACATGCATACACACGCATACATATACATGTGTATGTATGTAAACATGTATGTATTTGCGTACATACACGTACACATATATAGTATACACAGGGATACTTCGGAATCCCTGAGGAGTCCTTGGGAATGCCCAGGCTTCAACGATTTCGGACCTGCCGGGGCCGGGAGAGTCGTCTGCACACCAGGCGCGCGAATGCCTGCACCAGTGGGAGATGCCCGGGGCCGGGAGAGTCGTCGGCACACCGAGAGCGCGAACGCTTTTACCCGGGGCCGGGTGAGAGGGCACACACCGCGGTGTGCTGACGCCCGTCCCGGCCCCGGCCCGGGGCCGGGACGGGCGCCGCGACGTTGTTGTTGTTGTTGTTGTTGTTGTTGATGATGTTGCTGTTGTTGTTGTTGTTGTTCGTTGCGACCACCGTCCCGGCCCCGGCTTGTTGTTGTTGTTGTTGTTGAACATTATTACTTCTAAAGAATAATTATTGTTGGGGCCCCTGGTGCACGACCCCCCCGCCGCGCCTAGGCCGCAGCCACGTTTTCATCATTTTCGTGAGGAAGTCTCAGGTAAAACGATGTCATCCAGATCCGGTTGTTTTGTTGACGCCCGCTTTCCCTTGCAAAAAACACTATAAAATGAACTTTCTTGTTCTAACATATCCAAACTTCAAGAATCCCTTGCAAAAAATAAGGTAAAGTGGGCATTCGCGCGCGCAAGACGAAATCCTTCCAAAACCTTAGTTTTCGTAGCGATTTTAACATAAAAACATGAAAAAAACCAATGGTTTTTCAACAAAAAATTGTCGAAAATTCATCCCGCGCGCTCTTGCGGATTCGTAGGAAACCCAACACTTTTTAAACATTTCTGTCAAACGGGCTTTTGCGAGCATTTTTTTCGAACTTCTGCAACAACGGTTGCGCACCTGCCAGGGCCATCATCCCTATCAAATAATACCATGCGGGACACATTCGTTTTTTATCGCCGTCGTTGTCGGCCGCGGGGCCCTGAATAATAGCCACGGTCGTCCGCATGCCACGAAGTGAAGTGTCCGAACGTCATAGGGCGGGAAGCTGGGTGTGGGTGGTGGCGAAGAGTCGTTTGGAAATTTGGTAGAGCTTGAACCGGCCCCCCCACAAAGTGGGGGTATTGCCCGCCTCCTATGAAAACCCTGGCACTGGTGAGAACGGAGTGTCCCCACGTGCTAGTAATTGTTGTTGTTGTTGTTGTTGTTGTTGTTGTTGTTGTTGTTGTTGTTGTTGTTGTTGTTCCCCGAAGAACGATAGGGCCGCCGAATGGAGGAACGAAGTGCCTCAGGTGCAAACTGCCCCTCGTCATGGCGTCAACCCTGCGCCGTGGGCCGAACCGTGTGGAGCCAGACGGCAGCACCCCTTTCTCGTTTCCGCCAGCACGGGAAACGCCGCGTGCGTGAGCAGCGCTTCGGCTGTACAGTCAACGCGTATGAGAAGGATGCGCGATAAGGATGCAAGGGCCATTGAAAGGCCATGTCGACACTTTTCGAGCGGGGCGCGGCCAGCGAAAGCTGCCCAGGATGGGCCGAAGGGGCAAGGATGCAAGGGTAAGCTTGGACAGCTGCTCATCCTTACTCTGCGCTTTGACTGTATGGTTCCGCCCCCGCAGTGTCATCAAAGAACGGACGCCGAATTGCTGATCGTGAGTGGCAACGTGCGCTTACCGTGACATGAAGTGCAAGATGTATGTCGAGCAGGCTCGTGCTGTGACGACGTCGTCGCTGGATCGTCCAGCCTTGAGAAGGTCAGCGCTTGCGAGCGGGTGGAAGCTGTCGTCGGACATCAGGGACTCGGCGACAGACATCCTGTCCCGTCGGGCGGGCCCGGCCTGCTCAGGGAGCAGGAGAGCAAAGGGAGAAGGAGGAGGGGTGGGGAATAGGCGAAAGGAGGCGGGAAAAGGAGGCAGGAGGAGGAGCAGGAGGAGGAGGAGGAGGAGGAGGAGGAGGAGGAGGAGGAGGAGGAGGAGAAGGAGGAGGAGGAGGAGGAGGAGGAGGAGGAGAGACGAGGAGGGAGGAGGAGGAGAAGAAGAGACGAGGAGGGAGGAAGAAGGAGGAGGCGGAAGGAGGAGGGAGGAGGCGGGAGGACACGGGAAGAGGAAGAGGGAGGAGGGCGGAGGAGTTCTAGCGCGAAAGGGTCCTCGACCACCGGGAGCTCCAGCGCCCCTGGCGCAACCACTGCGAGCAGATATTCAGAGTTTGCCTGTCGGTTCGTCGCCTGGCCTCTGCAGGCCCCAGAGCCCTCGTCACGAAAGAGAACACCCCCCGCCGCAGGGGAAACCCGAAGATACCGATACCGCTACTCCCAGAACCTCTCCTGGGGTGCGTTCTGACCAGAATTTCAAGGCGAGTCCAGCGGTGGCGACGAGGGCCTCCCAGGAAGCCCCCAAACTGCGAAAACGATGCAAGGGTAGCGGTATGGGTACCCTGTTCCTCCTCTGAGCCGCAGCCAGTGCTCCAGCCGCCGTGGGGCGTGACGAGCAAGGCCCTCGAGGGGCCCTGAAGGGCGGGGCCAGCTGGTGCCCCAAAGGAGCCCGAAAAGGTCCCTGTGGGCCCTTTCTCTTCACCCCCCCGAGTTGGATCCCCCCCCGTTACCACCCGCCCGAGATCCCCCAAACGACCTCACCGCACCGAGATGTCACCGCACGGCTGCGGGACCCCTCCGAGGCCACAGCCGCCCGAGGCATCCTTGGAGAACGGCCAAAAAGCACCGGAGCTGCGCAGTCCGCCGACACTCCCAGCACGGTGTGCGCACCGCACCGCTTCGGCGGCCCCCGAGTCTGGGCAGCATGCGCCCGTGCCCTGCTGGGGTATCACCCTCGGTGCAGTCGCCGTGGTGTGATCTTCTGTGTCCACCGTGCGGCCGTCGGGGGCGGCACATCGTGATGAGCTGCTCGCTCTTGCGACGCCGACGGTCAGGAACCTTTGCGTAGCAGGTCGCAGCGGCGGCCCCGGCGGCACGCTGTGCCCTGCGAGCGGACAGTGTGTCGCTCCGCTCCGCGGGGCGGGAGGCTCGGAAACGCTCGGGACTTTCACGCCCGGGGACCGCGAGGTGGATCGCGTGTCGCGCCGAAGCGTGGTGGGCCAGAGCCGGCGGAGCGACGCGCTAAACTCAACTCACCGACCGTGCACTGCAACTGCCACGGCCCAGCCCGTCGGCTGCGGAGGCGCCACCGCTGGCCCTACCGCCGTGCCGCTGCGCCACATGGTGGCAGTCTTTGCGCACCAGGTCTTCCGAGATCCGGGCGCTGCTCTTTCCTTTCGGCTGCCGACGCCTCCTCCTCCTCCTCCTCCTCCTCCTCCTCCTCCTCTCTTCCCTCCTCCTCCCCCTCCTCCTCCCTCCTCCTCCTCCTCCTCCTCCTCCTCCTCCTCCTCCTCCTCCCTCCCTCCTCCTCCTCCCCTCCTTCCTCCTCCTCCTCCTCCTCCTCCTCCTCCTCCTCCTCCTCCTCCTCCCTCCTCCTCCTCCCTCCTCCTCCTCCTCCTCCTCCCTCCTCCTCCTCCTCCTCCTCCTCCTCCTCCCCTCCTCCTCCTCCTCCTCCTCCTCCTCCTCCTCCTCCTCCTCCTCCTCCTCCTCCCCTCCTGTCTCTCCTTCCTCCTCCTCTCCTCCTCCTCCTCCTCCTCCTCCTCCTCCTCCTCCTCCTCCTCCTCCCGCCCCGGGGCCCCCTTCTGATCGATGAGAGCAGCCGAACGGGCCCGATGCCGACCCCGCGGGGGGAATGGAGCCCGCTCGGCCGCCGAACGGGCTCGATCGCGAGCCCGCTGGGTGGCCAAACACGTGGGCTCCGACGCCGAGTGTGCTCAGAAGCGACCCCTCGGGCAAGACGAGGCCAGAGCGACAGCATCGGACTGGGATACAGCGGCGACCTCCGAGATCTGGCGGCTCACGAGGATGTATCGGGCGCCACGGCTCCTTCCAGGACGCTCCAGAACGCTTTGAAGAGCGTTCCAGTCCCGGGCCCCCTCGATCGGGGGCGCTCGCATTCTTCTCAGGGCGACCGGAGGATTTCTCGGGCCACCGGGAAGTTACGACTTCGTGCGGGATGCCCTCCAAAGCAAAGCCTCGGCCGGGTCCCCAGTCGTGGGAGGTCGGGAATGCCAAGACCCAGGACCGATCGACGACGGAAGACCGCGGGCCGCTGGAAGAGCGACGATGCGGGGAGCGACCGCTTCGTAGAGTGCCGATCGGGACATGTTTTTCAAAGCCAAAGGGGGGAGTCAGGGTCCGCGTTCAAGATCGGCGTGCTCCATCCGCCTTGCGCGCTGGTTTTGTTACGTCTTCAGGTCCAGGATCGGCCCGCGGCACACCTGCCAACGTTTGTCCGTTGCCGCTGATGTCTCCGATGCGGCCTGAGGTCTCACAGAAAGCCGCCTGCGGGACGCCCCCTTCCTGGGGTGACGTTCCGTGGTTTCACGTCGTGGTCGAGCCAGGGCCGACCAGGGGAGAACGGGGGAGAACGCCCGCGGCGCCCCAAATCGCACCCGAGGGCAGGGCAGAGTCCGTCGGCGTCAAATCGGGAAGTCGGATGGAGTCGAAGATGTGCGTCGGCACAGAGTCGGCCTCCACTCGGGTCGGCTGCGACAGGATGCGCAACAGCGCCCCACGTGAGCCTCGGGCCGCCTCGGATCGCTGGGGCGTCAAGGCCGGATCGGACCGGACGGGCCGACATCGGCATCGAGCCGATCGATGAGGTAGAGATGCGCCGTGCGGGGTGCCCGGAGGAAGCGGGAGGCGGCGCAGGCGGGGCAGCGGCGCAGGAGGCGGCGCAGGCGGCGGCGCAGGCGGGGCAGCGGCGCAGGGGGGGGGTCGGTCCCCTCGGACGGCACCACGGAGCTCCCCTTCGCCGGCACCGCCGGCAGCTGCCTCGGCGGGTGGTCCTCGCGGCGGCCCGCCAGGGCCATGCTCCCTGCCCTCCATCCCTGTCCCTCCCTGCTCCTCACGTTCGCTCCTCCGACAGCCAAGGCGCCGCCGACGGCCCCTCGGCCACCCGCGGACTCCCTCGCGCAGGCACGGCGGAGCTGCACATAAACGGCCTCCTCCTCCTCCTCCTCCTCCTCCTCCTCCTCCTCCTCCTCCTCCTCCTGGGTCCAAGGGTCGAATCCCCACTCCTGCGAAACTCGCAGGAATCCTTAGCGATAACTCCTTTAGTGAGAGGCGCTTTGCAAAGACTTCTTTCCTACTTTCGTCAAATCACCAGGTCCTGAGCAAGTGCCATGTAGTGGGGGATCCTGAACGAGGATACCTTTAGTAAGCATTCGTGAATAAGAACCCCTTCGAATGAGGAGTCCTTAGTAAGGATCCCTTATGTGAAGACCTTTTTTCTAAGAAGGATCCCTTCAATAACGGTCCCTGTGAGAAGGATGCATTGTCCATGCCTTCTGTGGGAAGGGGGCCTTGGTACCGATGCCTTCATTAATGGGGTGCGCAGTAAGAATGCGTTTAGTGTAAAGGCCCCCTTCGAGGGGATTCCTTTTGTAAGCGTCCTCTCGGTGGGGACCCTGTGATAATGATCCTGTAAACGACTTCGTTCAGCAACGGCTCCTTGGATGCGGGCTTCTGAACAAAGGGACCTTTTATAAGGGATCCTTCACACGGGTGCTTTTAATGAGGACGCCTTAATGGGGTACCTTTAGTAAGGGTCCTCTCAGTCAGGCCCCCTTGCAGGACGGACTCATTTGCACAAGGTTCTCCAGTAGAGGTTTATAACTGCGGGTGTCTTCTGCACGGAGTCCAGGGGCATGTAGGGATGCCTTTAGTAAGGACCCCCTCAGTAAGGATCTCTGTAATAGGATTAATTGATCATGCTTCCTTTCGCCACGGCGCCTCGGCAATGATGCCTTGAGCAAGGGAATTGTAGAACACATGATTTTGAGACGGTCTCTTTCGGGAAAATTCCTTTCGTAATTATCCTCCCGGTAAGGGCCTCTGTATTCAGGAACCCTCACTACGGATGATTGTGCTGAAGCCTCCTTTGTGGTCACCGTGGACAAAAGGGACTCATTTGCAATGCGCCTTTGAAATACGATGGGTGCCTTCTGTAAGTGGGCCTGAACAAGGGTTGCTGCTGGCAGGGAATCCTTTCGTCGGCATGCTTGGTGCGTGGGGTGGCGGTGGGGCGTGGCAAGAACGAAACAACATGACTACTGCCAAAACGTGTGACACTTTTTTCTCTCCCCCCCCCAAAGGGGCCACGACCACCACCACTGGACTGGGACTTTGTGAGCGGGTGTGGGCTCCGCTGAAGATCAGGGCATCGACCGTGGCATGGGTCCCATAGTGAGGCGTCTCCCGTGAGCATTCCTTCCATGAGATGTACTTCACGCAACTTAAAAAAATCGAACGGATGCACGTCGTTCATTTCTAATCATGCTCGTTTCTAAGTGTGCTCGTTTTTAATTGTTCCTGGCCCCCTAGTGGCCAGGACGAGGCCCAGGATAGAACAATTAGAAATGAATGGATCCTGCCCCCCCCCCCAATAATCAAAGAACCTTCGAATAAGTAGAAACGAACAATGTGTACTTAATGCAACTTAAGAAACATTCGAACGGATACATGTTTGATCCAGGCATCCTCAAACACAGCATAATCCCTGTAGTGGGGGTTCCTCGGTGGATCGAGGGCTCCTCGATAAAAGGTCCCTCAGGCGAGGCATCCTCAATGGGGAGCCATTCGTGATATTGCCTGTAAGGGCGACCTTTAGTAATGGGCCACTGCATTAAAGAAACACTGCGCACGTTTCCCTGACTAGTGGGCCCTTGGAAGGGATCTCATTCGTCGGGGGCCTTTCGCAGGGGTGCGTTGAACAAGGCCTCCATAATGATGATGTGGTGGTGCCTATAGTAAGGGCCCCCCCTGGTAAGGGCACCTGCAGTAAGGACTCAAGGGTTCTGCGGGAGAGCCAATGGAAGCGTCCGGCGCTGCAGTCAGCTTCCCAATCGCAGCCGTCGTCGTACGTCATCGTGGGCAGGTGGGGCAACAAAACCCATGTTTTTCATGGTCGCCCCATCCCCCCTTTTCCCCCGAACCGCCAAGCAACACTTCACTGGGACTGGGATCGCGCCAGAGAGCTTCACCGAAGAACCGAATCCGAGACGACCTCCTGGCGAACTCCTGGGGTTGCCGCATTCGCACAGCCCGAGAGGTAGGGACGGACGGCGACGGAGAGAGAAAGAGAGAGAGAGAGAGAGAGAGACAGAGAGAGAGAGGGAGAGAGAGAGAGCGAGAAAATGCGCGAGAGAACGAGAGAGAGAGAGAGAGCGATATGGAGAGAGAGAGGGGGGAACAGAGAGAGCGAGAGAGACAGAGGGAGAGAAAGAGAGAGAGAGAGAGAGAGACAGACAGACACAACGAAAAGAGTGAGCGCGCAGCGCGGAGAAAGGAAAGAATCTGAAAGGGTGAATTTCGCAAGGGGGTCGACCCTGGAACCGACTTCCCCAACGCGTGAGGCACTGAAACTTGCAATTCGCAACCTGTGCACTTATGAATGGGGGATCTGAAGTGTGGTTCCCGTCTGGGCGCCGCGCACATTCGTGTGAACAACTTGCGCGTCAAAATGGGTATCGCGCCTTGGCGCCGCGCGAGTTCGTCTTGAAAGCTTGAAACATGCACGCGGGTGATCTGCGCTGTTGTGTTTCTGCACTTTTTTCAGAAACGGAGTCTCGCCTCAACGCCGCGCACGTTCGTCTTACGACATTGTCGCGGCTGCAAAATGGAGGGCGGGAGGCACGGGGTGATCGCGCCAACGCCGCGAACCTTCGCTTCCCAAACCCACAACTGCCAAAAAGGTGAGCCGATGTGGTTCAAAGTATGGCTCCCGTTTGAAGCGGTATGCAGCAGCTGCGCGGATAACGGGCGGCTATGCTGCGAGATGGGCCCTTCATTTCAGAGCTCCTCCAATTGGTGGCGAAAAGGTGTAAACTTGGAAACGGTGCCCTCGCGGGACAGATCGTTGAACTCCACGGCCATACCGTCCCACATTCTTACCCGCTGAATAGGCACAAACCACTTCCATCTTACGGCCGTGCTCTCACCTGAATGGCAGGCCGATGCGGTGGCCATCTTTATGGGGGCGTACCTTGTGGTAATAACCCTAGCGAAAAACCAACCATGTGCAATTGTGAATACTGTCGTTGTGAATATCGCCTTCGGTGGATCTCCTTAGGGGGCCACGAAGCGCGCGAAACGCGTGCCGAGATGGGGCGGGGCCGCCATGCGGGTGAGGGGTGTGCCGAAATGGGGCGGGAATGACATGCGAGCCCTCTAACTGGGGCCTCAGGTGGAGTTCCGTATGGGGCCCAGAAACGTGTAAGGAGTGTACCGAACAGGGGCGGTGGTGCCATCCGAACCCTCCCTCTGGGGCCTCAGGTGGAGCTCCCAATGGGGCCACGAATCGTGAGGGGTGTGCCGATATCGGGCGGTGGTGTCATGCGAACCCTCCCACTGGGGCCTGCGGTGGAGCTCCCCTATGGGGCCACGAAGCGTCTGAGGGGTGTGCGGACATGGGGCGGTGATGCCATACGAGCCCTCCCACCGGATGGGGCGGTTCATTTTCAAAATGGAACGTTTGGCGCCGATCATTGTGTTATATGTTTCTACTTGCTAGAATAATCTAGCTGGCATCGCAACGGCAAACAAAAAGCGTTGGCAACTTCTCACACTTTCGGGCGGACACGTCCGGGTAGTCGAATGGCAAGACTGTGACGGAAACGGAACAAGTTCCTGCGGGGCTGTTGAGAGGGTCCTAAGGAGCTCCTGAGAGGTTCTTGGGAGGCTCCTGCGAAACTCCTGAGAGACCAAAGAGAAACCTATGAGGCTCTGGAGAGGCTGTCGAGAGGGTTGCCGCGAGAAGCCCCTGACAAACCTCGAGGAGGTCCCGCGAGCCGCCCTGAGGGCTCGCCCAACAGCTCCTGCTACCCCCTATGCGAGGCTCCAGCGAGGCGTTTGGGGAGCTCCAGAAACGCCCCTGCGAGGCTCATGGGGGCCTCCTGACAATTCCTGGGCGGCTCCTGGGGGACTCGTCCACGGCGCCCGATGCGGCCAAATGCCACCTCCGATTGTTGCCTTCAGCGGTAGAGAAGAGCTCTGAATCTGGCCCCTCGGCGCCCCGAATGCCGGCCCCCAAGGCGGTCCTGGCCGCTCTGTTCGTCCACCGAAATTGGATTTCAGACGCGACTCCCAGGACAGACAGTCCGCATCCCAACTTCTGCTGAAGATTCGGCGATGTCTCGCTGGCGTCTTCGGGCGCGAGATCCGACGCGCGCGGGGGGCTCCTGGGCCCTGGGGCCCGTGGCCTGCGAGCCCGGGGCCCTCGACTCGAGGGCCCACAGCTCCCTGTGCTTTCCGGGCCAAGGGGCCCCCGACCCTGGTGGGCCTCCACTGAGGGGCGCGCGACTTCCTCGGGCGCACGGTCCAAGGCCCACGGCCCCATCGTCCCCCGGCTCGAGGGCCGACCCCAGGGCTCCACGGCGAGGGGGCGGGGCTTCCCGGGGCTGCCCGAGAGGGGGGCCCACGCCGCCCGGGGCGGGGCCATGGGCCTGAGGCCCCCCGGGCCGCGCGGTCGAGAGCCCCGGAGCCAGGGGCGCCAGGGCTCCTGGGCCGTCGAGTCGAGGGCCCAGGACTCTTGGGCTGGTGAGCCAAAGGCCCCCGTGCAACCTGGCCCTGGTAAGCGGCGCGGGCCCGATGGGGCGCTCACTCCGCGCGGGGAGGTGTTCGTCGATGGCTCAGGATGGCCCTCGGAACACCCGGATGGCCGCCAGTGCGGCCTCGAATGGCACCCCGAAGGGCACCCCAGATTCGCGCCAACGTGGCTCCCACAACCAGAGGGCCCAACTGAGTCGGGGCCCGACCAGGAGCTGCGGCATCACAAAGAGCACCCTGCGACACAACCGAAAACGCGCGCCACTACGATATGAAAACAACATCTAGGCCACCCAAGCCCTAACACGATTCACCGGAAGTTCGCTTGAGGTCCGTTTAAGCCCGACTCGTTTCCCCTGCTGGATCTGACAACGCCCTGGCTTGCAGAGTTCCGACTTCTGGCGATCCTCTCGCCCAGGTCTGCCTGCTTCATGCATCCATTATTCCTCTTTCCCTTCGAGGGCTCGGGATGGCCTGTGGCAGGGGTGGTATGGTGTGCCGCCCAGACCACCCCCAGAGTGGCGAGAATGGCAGACCCAGACATCCAGCGCTTCGACTTGATCGATGCGCGGGCCTCGACCTATCCACACCTTCTCCGAGGCAAATGTTTCAATCCGAGCTGCTTCTTGACTAAAGAACAGAAAATCCCACCCCCAATAATTAACACCCAGGCAAGCGAAGCTGCTCAGCAAACGCACCGAAGGAAGGAATCGAACAGGGCAGGGCTGTTTAGTAAGCGCCCGAGGTCGTTTAGTAAACGCCGATAGTCGGGCTCGGGGTGGTTTTCCCCCCCTTGATTGACGGTCCCGAGGCCCGAAGCCACCCTGAACTCGAGGGCGCGCAAACATGGATTAGCGATCCATGGATTTGGCGCGCAGTCGCCAAATCCATGGATCGGGGGAGGTGTCCTCCCCAAAGTGCAGCCGATGCCGCCTCACTCGGCGGCGGAAATCCGTGATTTCCCGTGGAAACGGGACCCGACGCTAATCCACGCCCCCTTGATCCATGCTTGCGATCGCCTGATGAACATCCGGCGCTCTGCTATTTTGTTCCAGCCGAGGCCCCACGGTTGCCGACCCCTCCCCCCCGGGAGCCATTTTTGGTTCACCCGGGTCTCCTTCCTGACTGTCATGGGGGCCCGAAGGCGGGCGGCCCCCACGGGCCGACCTCGAGGGAGAGCCACAGGACCTGCACAAAAAAATCACACGTCGTCGGAGATCTGGGCCTGACCTCCTCCTCCTCCTCCTCCTCTTCTTCCTCCTCCTCGTCCTCCTCCTCCTTCCCCTCCTCCTCCTCTTCCTCCTCCCCCTCCCCCTCCTCCTCCTCCTCCTCCTCCTCCTCCTCCTTCTCCTCCACGTCCTGTCCTCTCCTCCTCCTCGTCCTCCTCCTCGACAGACTGGTCGCCTTCCGGTCCCCCGGATCAGAGGCTTCGAGACGCCAGGCCGGGCCACTGCCGCGCCCCAACGGAACTGCGGCCGTGGGCCGAGGCCTCCTCCTCTCGTCGGTCTCCCCAGGCAGGATCCCGGAGCGGGAACCTCGACACGCAAGGCCAGGCCATGGGCGCGCCCGATCAGACTGCCAGCCGTGTGTCGGAGCACTCTCCACTCTTCGGTCTCCTCAGGTGGGATGTTCAGAGCAGTCACTGGTTAGCAACGCCCTGGTTTAGGGCTCGGTGGCAACGCATGGGAGCCTCCCACGTCATCTTGCTGATATCTTGCGAATCGACGCTGGCCGGTGCTAATCGACGCGAGTCGACGCTAAGTCGGCACTTTCTCCCCGACTGTGAGGATAACAAGAAAGGTACCGATACACAATACCGTTACTTCCCGGACCTCTCCTGGGGTGCGCTCTGACCAGGATTCCGAGGCGAATCCAGGCGTCGCTACGAGGGCCTTCCAGGAGGCCCCAAAAAAGGGAAAACGAGGGAAGAGTGGCGGTATCCAGTACACGTCGTTCATTTCTAATCGTGCTCATTTCTAATTGTGCTCGTTTCTCATTGTTCCTGGCCCCCTAGTGGCCAGGAAGAGGCCCAGGATAGAACACTTAGAAATGGAAAGGTCTTGGCCCCAAAAAATTTGAAGATCTTCCGAAGAACTAAGAATGCACCATGTGTGCCCCTCCCTCCTTTGAGACCAATGCACTCTAGAGACGGAACTCCGAGGACACGCAAGGCTCTCGAACGGGTTGCTACCGGACGAGCGGACGAGGGCCCCGACTCCTCGTTCTCTCCGAAGCGCCGGACCTTTGGAGCCGACACGTCCGACGTTCGCCGAGCAACTCCCCTGTGGTGGGCTTGTTCTCCACCACCACCACCATAAGTAGGAGGGGGAGGGGGTCCTCCTCCTCCTCCTCCTCCTCCTCCTCCTCCTCCTCGTCCTCCTCGGTTTCCAGTTTTCCAGAAAAGCGGAGCGTCGTGCAACCACACAACGCCCAGCAACGCGAAGAAAGAGGGAGCTGGTTTGGCAACTTCGGCCATTCACCGCCGACCAGGGGTGCGCCAGGCAGCCCCCCGTCCGCAGTGGAATGGCAGAGGCGGCCAGCCAGACTACCCGTCAGAAGTGTGGGCATCTCTGCTGCTGCCCTGGGCCAAATTGCGCGGCCTCTGGGCACGCAATAAGCAGCCGACCTCGGGGAGGGGTGCGGGGTTACTCAAACGGCAGCCCACACCAGGGAGGACCCCATCGGTTCAGCTTGCGGGATTCAGAGGACGCTTTGCCACTGAAGGGGATTAGGAGTTTGTGCCCACCCCCCGCTCGGCAATTTAGAAATCCACCACATGCAGAGCAGAAACACACAGGTAAGAAGCTAGCTTCAGTCCAAGCTAGTTGTAGCTTGTGCCCCTTGCGCGGCTGCCGCAGGAGGCTAAGGATAGCTGGGTTTATGCCTGGGCAGGAATTGGTCCTGTTCCGTTTGGCCAGGCTCTTGAAACAGAGGTCGCATCGAGTTTTCTCATGAAAAAACACACAATCTCGTGCTAATCCTGCATCTTAGGGCGAGCACCTTTCGAAGGGTTCGCACGGCGAGCGAGAGCCCAAAGGTCGGCGAACCAGGGCCACGACCCATAGGATCTTGGATGCACCAAGGGCAAGGGCCTTGTACATGCCAATAGTATGCTTGGCCCTGGTGGCACTATCTTCAGAACTATTGTGACTCCCAGCCGCCTGTCCAGCATGGTAATCAGTCTGCTAGGCGGCGCCCTCTACAATTGATCGTGGCTTCGCGGTCTTCACAGTCCGCTTCGTCTACGTGGGCCTTGACCTTACACATTTTGGGCACGGGCTCCTTAGAAAAACGGGGAATCTCACGCTGCGGGTTGGCCCCCGAAACAGCCCAGCACGGGACTCGGGCAGCCTTCAGCAGGGCCGCAAAGTCCCGCTTTCGGCCCTGTCGGCACTGTGCCAGCATGCTAGAAGAAGGGCTGCATTTTCGGCGGTCCCAGAACTCTGTCCCATGATCTTGGGAATAGCAGCTCTGATGCCTCTGAGCAAGTTGCCTTCGGGGTCGACCTGTACAACAGCGCAACCTGCTCGCGCTAGGTGTTCCAGGTGAGGGGTGAGGCAGGACCCGTCAGAGAGCAGTTGGCTACCAGGCGGGAACTCAAACGGGTCAACGGGCTCACCGTCGGTCCTCTTCCTCCTCCTCCTCCTCCTCCTCCTCCTCCTCCTCCTCCTTCCCCCCTCCAACTTATGGTGGTGGGGGTGGAAAACAAGCCCATCACCCTGGCCCGATGGCTTTCGGCCCACACAGGCCTTGGAAGAAATGAGCAAGCACCCATGCCACGCTCACCTGTCAATGCCCCCCACAGGACCCATGCTGGCGGTGGGTTGAGCGAGTTGCACTCCGACCGCAGTCTCCCCGGCGCGTGCCAGCTTTGTTTGCACTTCGGGGAGAGGGGAGTGGCCTCAAATTGTTTCCCTCTACCGTTACCTGGCTCTCCGGCAGCCGTTCGGGACGGCCCTGGTATCCCCGGAACGCCGAAGGCGAGGCACAGCCGCTGGGAGGCAGGAGGCATCCCGAGGCCAGAGTGCGGCCGAGAGCCAGCGAACACGCCCAAAAACCTCGAGCCTGGAGGAACTTCCCCGGAAACTGCCCCTGAAAGGAGCCGGCCCCGCGCGGCAGGAGCCCCCAGGAGAGTCGCCTCGTTGGAGTTCTCTTGTGCACCACATCCTCCTCCTCCTCCTCCTCCTCCTCCTCCTCCTCCTCCTCCTCCTCCTCTTCCTCCTCCTCCTCCTCCTCCTCCTCCTCCTCCTGCCCCTCCTCCTCCTCCTCCTCCTCCTCCTCCTCCTCCTCCTCCTGCCCCTCCTCCTCCTCCTCCTCCTCCTCCTCCTCCTTCTCCACCTCCGCCTCCTCCTCCACCGGGGCGGCGGGGGCAGCCCCGTCCCCGAGGCGGCACGCCCTGTCCAGCTCGTGCTGCAGCCTGCTCGTGGCGGCGCGCGCGAGAGGGAGCCGGCCGTTGTCGCTGCCTGTCGTCGTCGTCCTGTCGTGGCCTGTCGTCGTATTCGTCGTATTCGTCGTCGTCGGCGTCGTCGTCGTCGTCGTCGTCGTCGTCGTCGTCGTCGTCGTCGTCCTTGGTCCGTCGTCCGTCGTCTGGACCGCGCCGCGAGGTGTGCGACGACGACGGCGAACGACGGACGACGACAACGAACGACGAACAACGAACGACGAACGACGACGACGACGACGACGACGACGACGACGACGACGACGACGACGACGACGACGACGACGGACGACGACGACGAACGACGACGACGGGCGACAGACGACAAACGACGGACGACGACGACAGACGGTAGACAACAGGCGACATACGACAGACGACAACCGACAGACGACGGGCGACGACAGGCGACAATGAGGGCACGGAAAGCGGGGGGGGCGCAGGAGGAGGGCGAGGACGAGGGCGAGAAGGAGGGGACGAGGAGGAGAAGGCGAGGACGAGGACGAGGAGGGGGAGGCCGAGGGGACGAGGGCGATGGGAGTGACGAGGTGGGTAAGGACGGCGAGGACAGCGGAGAGGCCCTCCCCCTCCTCCCCTTCTTGCTCTACCCCCCCGTCCTGCCCGTTCGTTTCCTCCTCCTCCCTCTCCTCCTCCTCCTCCTCCTCCTCCTCCTCCTCCTCCTCCTCCTCCTCCTCCTCCTCCTCCTCCTCCTGCCCCTCCTTCCTCCTCCTCCTCCTCCTCCTCCTCCTCCTCCTCCTCCTCCTCCCTCTTCTCCTCCTCCTCCTCCTCCTCCTCCTCTCGCCTCGTCCTCCAACTCCGCCCCTCCTCCTGCTCCTCCTCCTCCTCGTCCTCCTCCTCCTCCTCCTCGTCTCCCTCCTCCTCCTCCTCCTCCTCCTCCTCCTCCTCCTCCTCCTCCTCCATTCCTTTTTCCGTATACATAACTTCTCCCTGTCTCATCGCGAAGCAAGTTTTTAGGGCGGTCCTCTCGTTTCGCCTGAGACTTCCTCATCACTTATGACCCTGGAGCTCAAAACATGACAACGGTTTCACAAATGGCAGCGGGTCGTTTTCAACAGGTGGCTCGCGCCTGCCTTAGCGCCGCGCACTATCGTTGTTTTTTTTAAAAAAGGAAACATGCAAGAGTTGTTCACGGATTGAGGGCGGTTCCGTTTCAACATGCGGCTCTCACCTTAGCGCCGCGCACATTCGTTTTAAACCTTTGCAAAAGCTTCACGGATTGAGGGCGACCCGTTTTCAAAATGTGACTCTCGCGTTAGCGCCGCTCACATTCGTTTCGTAAAACAAAATGCAAGAGTTGTTCACGGATTAAGGGCGGTTCCTTTTCAACACATGTGGCTCTCGCCTTAGCGCTGCGCACATTCGCTGTAAACATTTGCAATCGTGTCATGGGTTGAGGGCGGTTTCTTTTCAAACTGTGGCTTGCTTTTGCGCCGCACTCATTCGTTTTTCTGTAGAAGAATTTCACGGAATTCCATGATCGGCGTACCAGAAATTGTGTTTTGGAAGGATTCAGGGTTATGAGGGTGCAACAGGTACGTTGATTCGCGGTGTTGATGCCCTCAGAATGGCGTTCCGGCACAATTCAGGATCGTCAAAACGCAACAGTCAGGTTGACCCGTGGCGTTGGAATCCCGGGAACGATGCTTTGGTATGCATCAGGGTCTTCAAACGGTTGTCTTCCAACGAGGCAGTTCCCTCAGCGGAAACGAAGGGAGGGTTTACTCCAACATCTTTGATGACTCTTGGGTTTACACTGGTCCTCCTCCTCCTCCTCCTCCTCCTCCTCCTCCCCGACAGGGCGTGGAGGAGGAGGTGGCAGAGGGGAGGAAGAATGCAGAGGCGGTCCGAATCAATGCCGGGGTCCGACCCGCCCCCCTGCCGGACTGGGACCCGACGACTTCTGCAGACTTGCGCCGGCATGGACACCCTTAGCAGCAGCGCTGCATGACGCGGCGCGGGCACAGCACGCGGGCACAGCACGCGCATGACACGGCGCACGTCTCGCATCCCACAACTCAGGCACGGCACGGCACGACACGCGCACGGCACGGCAGGGGGGCACGGCATGGCACACGCACGGCACGGCACGCGGGCACGGCATGGCACGGCATATGTCTCGCGTCGTGGTCTTCAGGAACGCGTGCTGAAAAATCCATCGGGACCCCTATCGCACTCGCTGCTCGGAGAACAAAGGGAAGACCACACAACACCTTGCCCCTCCGCAGCACGCTAGCGAAGATCACTGCAACAAACAGCAGCCTTGCCCGGCAGCTTACGCGGCTCTTCCAGGGTCATTTTGCGCGGCCAGCGCTCATAGAACAAAAAGAAACAACGCCATAAACATAACCTGTTGGCGTTCCGCACGGATTTCTTGGATCTGCGCTGGATCCCCCTCCCTGGCGCGCGGAGCGCACCAGGGGCGGCGCTGGGGGGGCCCAGCGCGGATCCAAGAAACCCGCGTGGCGCGCCAAGAGTTATTCTTGTTCGGTACCCGAGAAACCAATCGTCGAAGTCACGCGCTGGCGAAGCTGTTACACGTCGTTCATTTCTACTCGTGCTCATTTCTAATTGTGCTCGTTTCTAATTGTGCCTGTCCCCCTAGTGGCCAGGAAGAGGCCCAGGATAGAACAATGAGAAATGAAAGGATCTTGGCCCCCCAAAAAATCAAAGAACTTTCGAATGCTTAGAAATGAACCACGTACCCGAAAACCAAGCGTCGAATTCACGCGATGGCGAAGCTGGCACGTCCCCCGACCTGTGGCAGAAGCCTCCTTGTTGCAAGAGCTCTGCAAGCAGGGAGGGCGTGAGAGCCGCTGGGAGGGCCCTGTGCGTCACTTCGCGAGCGCCCGCAAGGGCCACGCAGAGCCTCGCAGGACCGCCATCTCAAATCAAATCGACAGGTCAGCCAGTCGAACCAACCGCACCGACCTTGCAGACGTGCTGCAGCGAATTTCTGCATGGGTTTCTGACAGTGCCAGACCCCGCAACGGCGAGCGAACAACGATGGGAATTTCACGTGGATTTGTGCTAATCTTCATTCCTGACCCCCCAAAAAAATCCGCACGAAACTCACTTCGAAATCTGGAACGCCATTCTCCAGGACACTCCGGGCCCAACATATTGTTTTCCGATCGAAATCCGCTCTGCGATGTTGGCGCCATGAAAGCTGGAGTCGAGCACATGCCCCAGCTGGAGGTCCTGAAACCACAAGCTAGAATTGACCGAGACCAGGAGACTGCGTCTCATCCGCACCCTGCCCGGTTTCGCAGCCTTGAGTCTCGGCACCGAGCTCGAGAGTGCTGAAGGGGACGACGACCCGCGCATCTGGAGCGGCGTTCGATGCTTGAACAAACTCATCGTTCCAGGACCAGTGCACAACGAAGATTTCGTGCACGCGCACGCCCCAGCACAAGTTCAAGAAGTATGAAGCTTCTCCAGAGCGAAGAACGATAAACTATTCGGCGGCCCAAGATCACACGATGCACGGGCGTCGATGTCACGCGAAGAAGATCGGGCAGCGGAGCTGAAACGCCAAAGACGCATAATTCAAATTCTGCTCAATTCCCTGCGACCCTCAGGCATACAGCATACCTGCCAAGACTCAACGTGGAGCAGTCCCACCCCTGCCCAGGTAGCGTGCTCGCAAAACCCGCTGGGCATATAAAACTGGAATGGCAGTTTAAGGCAAGATGACCGAGTCCAGGCCATCTCTTGCGAGGGCAGCTTTTACCTCCGCCGACCTCCGCCCGCCGTCCGCCTGCTTCTGCCTCATGCACCGCCCTCGTTCTTCTGCCGCCTTCCGCCGGCCTTCCGCCGCCTTCCGCCGGAAAAGAGATGCCGACTCCTTCGATTGAGCAGGGACCGACCGTCATGGCATTCCGATAGGCCTTCCACGAAGTTCTATCAGAACCCAGGACTGTTCTAAGAGCAAAAGCACACTCTCTCAGAACATGAACCCCATGTGTTAGAACAAGACAGCGCCAGCCAGACATGTTCTACAAGAACAGTTCGTGGAAACCACCACCGCTTCTTGGAACAGTGTCTGGCAGGCCCAGAGGCACGGCAGGACGCCTCGCCACTGCTTAGCCCTCGGGCGCGAAGTCCCCTCTGGAGCGCCCCAGACAGTGCCGGCAGAGTGCACCCACGGCCAGTCGCCCGACGAGGGGGCGGCGGAGGATGGAGCGGACGAGGCCCCAAAGCGCGGGATATCGGTGGGAAGCGGCAGCTCCTGACTACCTACCAGACCACCCCAACCCAACCCGAAGACCCGAATTTCGGGTTGGGGGGGGTAAGGGTTCCATACGTGTTTTTTCGATGTTTCCCGAACACCCCCCCACTGGAAATCGAGAGTAAATCTGAGCCTTCGGGTTGGGTTGGGGTGGTTTGGTAGGTGGTGAGCTCCACGGCAACAGGGCCACCGGAGGGCGTGCTGGCAGCAGCCCCAGAACCAGAGGGGGGCAAGCTCTGCACACACCAACTGCTCTGCACAGAAGCACCAGAGGAGAGGAGGAAGAAGAGGAGGAGGAGGACTATCCCGTGGACAAAGTGCGCTGGCGCACAACTCGACCTCGCATTCGGAGGAAACCCCACGATCGAGCTGACCAGAGCTCGAAGTTATCAAGGCGACGATGTGCGGCAGGCGGCCCACCCGAGTGCGCAAGCACAGAGTGAGCCAGGCGGGCCGGGAAGCCCGAGAACGAAGTGCTCGTTCGGACCGCATCGAGGGCACGCTGGGCTCTTGCGACCCGACTCGTCGGCTCGATCGAACCGAGCCGACCGGCCCGTCTGACGCCGTCGGAAGCTGTCATGCGGGCCTCTCTCTGGGCCGACTGGGGGCCCTCTTGGGGTGCGCCAGGGCCGTCTTGGATGCCATGTTGGGCGTCTTGGAGACCTCTTGGGCCGTCTTGGGGCCCTCCAGCCGTGACCTGGGCCGACGGGGCCGGCCCCCCCCCCGGCGCGCCTGTCCGCTCGCGTGCGCTCCGCGGCGGCCGCTTGCTTCAGGCACTCCAGCTCGGCCTGGCCATCAGGACGGCTGAGCGGGGTGCACGGGACGGAGGAGGGGGCCACTGGGCGGAGAGCGGGGGGGGGCGGAGGCCCGAACGGAGCGAGAGGCACAAGGACGAAAACGGAGAGGGAGAGTGGGAGTTCGAGTGAGAGGGAGGAGGGATCCTGAGGAGTCCTGGGGAATCCTGCGGGATCCTAAGGAGCCCTCAGACATCCTGGGGAATCCTGAAATAGCCCTTCGGGAACTTTTGGGACTCTGGGCCCCATGCGGGGCTCAGCAGCCTGGGGAGGGGGGCCAAAGGGGCCCCTGCTGCTGTTGGTAGGGGGGGGGCGCGCTCGCGCACACACGCGCACACACACGCGCACACACGCGCACACACACACTCACAATTTTTGGCGTCGCGGCCCTGCGCGCGGCGACAGGGCAGAGAAGCGTCACGAAGCAGCGAACGCGCGCACGCCACTCACACACACACACCTGCACACACCTACACACACCTGCACACACCTACACACACCTAACAACTCAACTACATACGCACGCGCACGCGCACGCGCACGCGCACAAGCACACGCACACGCACACGCACACGCACCCCCCCCCCACACACAAACACACCCACACACACACACACCACACGCACGCACACACACACACACACCACACACAACACACACACACACACACACACACACACACACACACACACCACCCCCACCCACCACCCACCCACCCACCCCCCACCCACACCACCCACCCACCCACACACACACACACACACACACACACACACACACACACACACACACACACACACACGCACGCACTTTTTACGTCGCAGCACAGCAGAGGCGACCGCACGCGCGCCCTAGCAGGCAGGGGCGACAGCCACACCCAGGGGCTGAGGCAGAGGCTGCAGGCACGGAACGCGTAGACCAAGTCGAACCAGTACGGGGGGAAGAGCGGCGAGCGAGCCCACAGAAGCGGGCTGTATCCAGGTGTTCATCAAAGGCCGTGGGCGACAAGCTTTGCTGCAGGTGCGGCCCCAAGCGACCACGGGGGCTGGGCCAGCGACCAGCTCGCTGCAGCAAAATGCTGCTGTACTGCCATGCTGAGCCGATGAGAGCTGCAGGTCTGCCGGCTGCGAAGCCGCCGAGGGCTGCAGCGCAGCGCTTCGCAACAATTACTGCCGGGGGCTGCTGAGCTGCAGGGCACCAGCCTGCTGCAGTGGGGCAGCACGGCGAGGGCGCCCACGACCGAAAGGGAGCCCCCCCTGCGGTGGAAGGCGGGGAGGGGGGAGGGCCAGCTGGCCCGGGCGCACGCCTCACAGCCAGGGAAGCCGGGAGCGCCCGGCCGCGGGAGATGGCCAGGCGCGGGCGCCCCTCTGCAGGAGCAGCGGGGCTGCAGGCGGACGAAGCCGCCAGCCCGGCCGCTGGCGCGCAGCCAGCCGGTGCGGGGGGGGCGGGGGCGCCAGGCCACGGGGTCGGCCAGGCGGGGGCGCCCAGCTGCCAGAGCAGCGGGGCAAAGCAGAATCCACCTGGGGGGGTGGACGCTCCAGCCAGGTCAAAACGCCGGGGGAGGGAGGAGGCGGGGAGGGAAGGGCGCCTGGTCGCCGTCGGAAGCCCAAGGGTGGCCCCAGTGGTGGCCTCCGGTGGGGTCGGGCGGCGTCGCCCTGCTGGTGGCTGGTGCACCCGCCTTATGGTGGCCGTATGACTCCCCGCATGGGGGCAGGGAGCGTGCGGATGAGCCCCCGCACGGGGCAAGGACAAACAGAATCCGGCAGCCATGGGGTACTGAGAGAAGGGCGCTCGCAGCACCTGGCCGCGAAGGGGGGCAGGGAGCGCGCGCTTGCAGCATCCGGCGCCCCAGAAAACAAAGGACGGCGACGACGACGGGAGAAGAAAGGGACGAGGAGGAGGAGGAGGAGGGGGAAGAGGCACGCGGATCGTGCTCCTGAAGGCCGCGCCACGGGGGGTGGGCGGCGGCGGCGGCGGGGAAGCGGGGGACGGCGACGGCAGGATGAGAGAGGGACAGGGAGGACGGTGGAGGGCGACAGGCGCACGGCAGCGGCACGTCCAGCAGCGGGGCGGTGGAGGGCGGCAGGCGCACGGCAGCGGCAAGTCCGGCGGCGGGGCGCGCGGGTTGCTCCCCGCACGGGAGAAGAGAGAACGCGCGGAGGACCGCCGCGCGGCAAGCGGATTGCCCCCCGCCGGAGGGGCCGGGGAAGCGGGGCGCCCGGGGCACCCGACGAGCGGCATGCCCCCCGCACGCGGGGGCCGGGAGCGCTCGCTCTTCGCGTCTGGCGTCCTGGAGAGAAGGAGCGGCGGGGAGAGGATGGGGGCTACGGTCGGACTTGATGGGAGAGGACACGCGAGAGGACACAAGAGCCTTCCGACGGCCACATCGCCGTGGGAGTGTAAGAAGGCACGTGTCGCGAGGCACAGGGCACTGGGGTGCCCTTGAGCTGGCAGGGTCGACCTACTAATCAGGGCCGACCGTACGATGGCGGAGATGAGGACGAGGAGGGGGCAGGGCCAGCGGCAGTTTAACGCCTGACCGGGCGGCCATGTGAAAGAGAGCGCTCGCAGCATCTGATCTGACATCCGGGAGGAGGGAAGGCGGGGGAGGAGGGGACGACACGACAGACAAGGAGAAGGACGAGGGTGGAGGGGCAACGAGGCATGCATGCTGTAAAGAGTTCGCGCGCGCGTGGCAGGGAATTGAAGCGAGCCAGCCTCTACTTCGTCACGAACATGCGCATTCTGGCTGGGGGGCGGGGCCCGAAGGCGGTGGCGCGGGAACCCCTTCCGCCCCCACGCATGCCGGAGTGGGGCCGGGAGGCGGGTGCGCGGAAGCCCCGTCCCACCCTGGCAGATGCCGCGAAGAGAGAACGGATGGTTAGCCAATATGAGCCGAAAGTGAAAGGACACTCGCGAGAACAGCAAATCAAACTGGCCACCGTGCTGATGCCCGCAAAATTGTCTGGATCTCCGTGTAAGGACGCGGCCCAAGACCCGTCAACTGCACGCAGGAGAAATAAAGATGTCGTCGCATACGTTAAGTGCCGAAGTTCGAACCACCAATCTGCAATAATCATGGGAAAAGGCAATGAGGCAACATCCGCCAAAACTGAAAGTGTCGAGAACACATACACGCACACCCACACACACACATGCAGCTGCAGCATCTTCCCCTATGAACTGGATGATCGGGACGCGTATCCTCTGGGTGGCGGTGGCCAGGCTGTTGGCGTAGATCCTCGGGCGGCCTGCGTTGACGTTCAACTGCAGGGGAACGGGGAGCGCACTCTATCCTCTGGCAACGTGCGCCTTGATGACCAGTAGGTTATCCTCGAGAAGCACTAGCGGGAGCAGCTAGAGTCGTGACGATGTGCTGATGCCCGCGAATCAGCACTGGCCGGGGCAGCTGGAGACGTAGGCGAACTACGGCTCGGCGGTGTGCCTCGCCCCAGGTGGGCCGGCGTCAGCGTCGGCGCTGCGCGTGCGCCGAGTGCGTGGCAGCCCACGTGGAAGCACTGGCACGGCGTGCCCTGAAAGCAGCACTGGCTGGGGCAGCTGGGGCCGTAGTCGGCCGGCTCGTCGGTGTTGATGCTCTCGAGAAAGCACTGTCAGTGCTGGGGCGACTGGAGGCGTAAACGATCGACTCAACGGTATTGATACCCGCCACGCGGCACTGGCCGGGGCGGCTGGGGACGTAGACGATCGGCGAGGCAGTGTTGATGCCCTCGAGGCGGCGCTGGCCGGGGCACATGGAGACGCAGACGATCGGCGTCGAAGCAGCACTGGCCAGGGCAACTGGCTTCGAAGACGCACGGCACGGCGGGTGTTGATGTCCACGCAGGTACTGGCTGGGGAAGCTGGGGACGTAGACGATCTGCGCGGCGGTTTTTATGCCCGCGACGCGGCCCTGGTCAGCACAGCAGGAGACGTAGATGATCGTCCCATCGGTGTTCATGCCCTCGGCAGCGCTGGCTGGGGCAACTAGAGACGTAGACGATCGGCTCGCTCGGCGGCGCTGATGCCCTCCACCCGCTCATCGCAGCCCACGTTGCCGCACCAGCACGGCGTGGCCTCGAAGCAGGACTGGCGGGGGCACCTGAAGTCGTTGACGATCTGCTCGGCGGTGTGGATGCCCACGGAACGGCACTGGCCGGGGCAGCTAGAGTCGTAGACGATCGGCGCGGCGGTGTTAATGCCATCCGGGCGGCGCAGGCCCGGGGAGCTGGAGACGTAGACGATGGCCCTCCCGTGGAAAAGTCGGCTCCAACTGCAAACTGACGCGCGGAGACGGGTAACTTGACGGACTGGAGGATCGTGTGTGCAGTGCCCGCAGATGCGGGGGTTGAGAAAAGCGAGCGATGGGTCACCTCGAACTTGAAGGTCACCTGTGTGGCCCCAGGATGCCACGGCATGGCCAGGGAAGGCCTTGAGCTGGGAGTTGAGTCCCGAACACGGCCTTGAGCCACACACAGACACACACACACAAACACTAAGAATACTGAACGTAGTCGTCCGTCGTGTGTTTGTCGCGACGCGAGGAGGTCAGGGTCCGCCTGCCCTGACCGCACTTGCCAAGAGGATGGCGCTGCGCAGCTCCGATCGGACCAAAGCGGGGGGCAGGTAAATGGGGGGTTAGCGGAGTTGCGGAAAACGAGAGCCGAATCGGGGCATCAGAATATTGGAACGAGCTGGCCCGAACCGATATCACATCGGAACGGATCGATCTGACCGAAATTGACCCTGGAAGGGTGGCGCAGCGTAGCCCTGGATCGGGAGTCAGAAATCGATCACAGGACCTCCCTTGGGTTGCTTCCTGCCTCGAACCTCGAGGCAGATCTGGCCGCGGCCACGAGGGCGCCCCGGGACGATCACCAATCGACAGGGAGCCAACCCCAGTTCTCCCAGCTGCTCCAACACGCGACACGCATCCCGTAGCGTGTTGACACGGAGCTCAGCAGGCCTGGCCCGATGCGTTCGCCAAAGCGTGGTCCAACACGCGCCGAACCCACACGCAGCGTGTTGACACGTAAGCTGTGAACACGGAGCGTGCTGCGTGTCAAGACGGGCGTATCAGGGCAGCTAAGCCGAACCTCGAACCTCAAGCCTACAGCCATCGTGCTACCATAAGGAACGCTGAATAAGGAACGAAGGCGCTTTCCTGGCCACGGCGAGCCTCGGCCACGATCAGGCCCCCCGACCTGGATCTGCGGAACGGCCCGAAGTGTTTAACCAATCCCTGTCCCACTGGCGTGGCCTTGGCCCCACTGGCCGACTTAACCACCCAGGTGGGAATATCCGCCTGGTCCTTCGGGTTTCCATTGGCCCATCCCCGCCTGGGAGTGCTGGCGAGGTCAGTGGCATGGCCCAGTGGCGATGGGGATAGGTCAGGCGATGCTGACCACTTCAGCGTCTTGCCGAAGCCTTCTCGGGTCGGGCGAAAGAGGGGGGTTGCAAAGGGGGGGCTTGAGAATCAGCTCACGCAGCTGATCTTCCTGGCGCCGGAGGCGGCCATGTACCGAGGATTGGGCCCCCCGGTGGGGCCGAAACCAGCTGCATGCAGCCAATTTCGTACCCCCCCCTTTCCCAATCCCCCCCCGACATTGGCCTGTCCCCACCTGGGAGTGTTGGTGAGGTCAGTGGCATGGCCTAGTGGCGATGGGGATAGGTCATGCGATGCTGACCACTTCAGCGTCTTGGCCGAAGCCTTCTCGGGTCGGGCGAAAGGGGGGATAGCAAAGGGGGGATTTGAGAATCAGCTCACGTAGCTGATCTTCCTGGCGCCGGCGGCGGCCATGTACCGAGAAATGGGCCCCTCGGTGGGGCCGAAACCAGCTGCATGCAGCAAATTTCCTACCTCCCCCCCTTTCCCAATTCCCCCCTTTCGTCCGGCCCGACCTTCTTTCAGCGCCCTGACAACACCCCACCCGGCGCTGCCCCCGAGGCATGGGGCCCCGAAGCCCGCGCCGCGCCGCGCGCGCGGGGCCTGCGCGGCGGCCCGGCTCTCGCGGCCGGGGCGCGCGGCCGCGCCGGCGCTGGAGACCACGATGGCGCCGCGGGTGGCCCGCGCCAGCGCCGGCCGCGCCGCGAGCTCGTCGGCGAGGTCCTCGGGGGCTGCACGCGGGGGGGGCGCCTCCTCGCCGCCGCCGCCGCCGCCGCGCCGCCGCCGCCGCCGCCGCCGCCGCCGCCGCCGCCGCCGCCGCCGCCGTCGTCGTCGTCGTCGTCGTCGTCGTCGTCGTCGTCGTCGTCGTCGTCGTCGTCGTCGTCGTCGTCGTCGTCGTCGTCGTCGTCGTCGTCGTCGTCGTCGTCGTCGTCGTCGTCGTCGTCGTCGTCGTCGTCGTCGTCGTCGTCCACCTACCTCCACCTCCACCCCCACCCGACGCTGACGGCCACGCGGCGGTCTGTCCGCCGTAGCCGCAGCGCGCGCCCGCGCCCGCGGCCGCGCGCTGAAGGCGCGCCCAGATTTGTACCGAGCGCGCGCATCGTGACCTATGTCACCTATGCCCCACCCTCTACCTCAGCGGGGTGGCTGAGGCAGAAGGTGGGCTCCTCAGAAAACAGCCTCTGGACCCAAGACCCCGCCGAGGGAGAGGAAGAAAAAACCGAACAGCCTCAGAGGACACCTCAGAGGGCCACAAGGAGGGCCGCCGAGGGAGAGGTGGTCCTTATTGAAGGAAGGGTCGTGGCTGAACTGGCACGACAGAGGCCCAGACAGACGGACAGACAGACAGACGGACAGACAGACAGACTCTCTCTCTCGGGCTCCCACGTCGCTGGGGTGCCCCCAGCCACGCCTCGAGGGCGCGCCCCACCCGCGCCTGGGGGACGAGAACCATGACGCGGAGGAGCGCGCCGCTGTCCGGGGCCGAAAAAAAGGAGGGAGAAGAGGAAAGGGAAGAGCGAGGCTGCCGGGCAGAAGGCTCGCCGCGCCCCGCCGCGCTGCTCTGCGCCGCCAGGAAGGCCCGCCGTGCTCTGCGCCGAGCCGCCCGGCAAGACCCTCGGCGCTGGTTCGCGGAAAGCCCGCCGCGCGCTGCGCCGCCTGGTAGCGCGCGCCCTGGCCACCGGCCGTCGCGTAGCCCGCGCCGCCCCGAGCCTGCTCGCCAGCCCAGCGGGGAGGGGCCCGTGCTGGCTCGCCGCCTGCGCTGCAGCTGCCGGCGCCGTTGTGGCTGGCGCTGCGGCGCAGCGTGGCGGCTTCGAGCGTTGTCGCCAGAAACCCTCAGGGGCGCCAGCGCAAGCCCGCGGCGGCGTGCGGGGCCGTCGTCTCTTGCGCCGCTGCGTGCCGCTCGCCGCTGGCGCCTCAGAGGAGGCCCACCGAGGAGCGCAGCTGGCGTGCGAGTTCGCTTTGCAGCCCGCAGCTGAACACCCAGTGGGCGCGGGCCAGCTCGCGCTGGTGGTCCTGCTCGTCCTGCCTGTTCGTTCACTTCGGCCTTCAGCCAGACGCGGGCCTCTGCAACCAATCTCCCTCCGACCTCCAGGACGACTGGGACCAGACAGACAGACAGACAGACAGACAAACAGACAGACAGACAGACAGACAGACAGACAGACAGACAGACAGACAAACAGACAAACATACCCGAACACGTCGAAGCTGAAACGATCTGAGGCGGGGAAATCCAAGCACTCCCTGGCAATAGCTCCATGGCGTCGGCGACATCGTGTCCGTAGGGGCATGGACATGATAATGGTTGCTGCCTCCACCTGGCGGTAAAACAAAACAACTGATGTCGAACATGTTGTCATCTGTTTGGGGTGCATCTTTCACTCCCGCTGGCTTGAGCTGGCTTCCGCCCGCGGAGGCGGCCACGTTCTACTCCCGCTGCCTTCCGCCAGCCTTCCGACGGCCTCTGCCGAGCAAGAAATAATGCCTCCTTCGGCCTCCGAAAGGGGAGGCCACATTTCGGAGTGCGCCATCTCTGTTCCCGCCGCCAGGGATTGGCACCCTCGGCGGCACGCGCTGTACCCCGGGTAAGCACGAAGCCGTCCAGAAGGCGACCAGAAGCCAAAGGCTCCGCAGGCCGTCGCCGACGCGAGAGGCGGCGGCGAGAAAACGGGACGAGAAGAGGAAGGTGTGTTTTGCGTCGGCGGCCAGAGCGGCTAGACAAAAGGACTGTGCTGGCGAGTAAATCGACACGGGGCGCGCCACCATGCAGAGGGAGGGGCGAGAACGACAGAGAAAAGAGGAAGAAACGGACGGCACGAACCGAAACTTTCGGAGCCCCGTGCAGACTCAGCGGGTCGGTGCCGCACATCCCCCCCTGGCGCACGGAGCGCGCGGGGGGCGGCGCCGACGGCGCCGACACGGGGTTCCAGCGCCGGTCCAAGAGCCCCGCGCGGACCTTCGGAAGTGCACGCTGGTGCAGCGGTGTTGGATTCCCGTTTGCTGAACAAGCGTTATTGATCACCCCCGCTGGATGCCCAGTGCGTCTTTGAATTCGGGTGCTCCCCCTGGGGCTCGAACCTGGCCCTTTACGATGGGAAGTTCTGGGGCTCAGACTGCGCCGCTGGGCCCCGAACAGTGACAGCAACGGATTCCGCTGGACACCTCTTCACAGTTTATGATTTGAGGATCGCCCTCTCGCGCGGGAATTCCTGACACTTGATGCAGGAATCGCGCTCTCGCGTGGCATTCCCATGCAACTTATTAAAGGGCCACGCCCTCTACACTCAGGCATCAGGCTCTCGCTCTGGCTTTCCTCATGCTTTACTTTGGAATCGCGCCATCGCTCGAGACGTCCCCGTGATTCATGCAGGACGCGCACGCTTCAGCAACCCGCCTGCTCGACCAGGCCGCCTGGGCACGACTCCCCGACACGCCCGTTAGGTTCTACTTGCCCGATCTGCCCGTCCAGTTCTGCCATGTGGGTTCTTCTCCTAGCCCCCCTCCTGCTACTCTATTCCCTCTCTCTCTCTCTCTATCGTGCTCCATCCTTCTCCCTCCCCCATCTTCCCTTCCTTCCATCCGTCCTCTCTTCCCGTTCCTTCTTTCCATCCGGAGCTGCGCGAAATACACGTGGAAGGAAAATAAGATATAACCCAAAGGGGTACGATCTAAGACGAAGAGGGCGGGTATCGAGGGTTTGGGATATACGTCTTGGATGGCACGCGGGCAGATAAAAACAAACAAACTGATATGTGTGTTGGTGGTATTCCTGTTCTCACCCGTAGCGTTTACATTACCAAGCTCGTTTCTTATTACTCGTGATGCGTGTGTGTTAGTTACTAAAGCTCGTCTCATTCTTATTCACTATTACGTATCATTGGTCACAGTCTCATGTGCATAATTTCCCTGCGCGGGTAATATGATTAGTTGCTTGAGTGTATGTACTACATGATCTTCTTCGTCTGTTCCAGCTGTCGTGCACATCCACCGTGTCACTACAAATCGCTCTGCATCCTCCTCTTTCGTCCTCTCTTCCATCTCATTCGTATCATCATTATGATGTGTCGGATTGGTATTCGTCTTCCTCCGTGCGAGAGAGGCAGAAAACGGACGAGGGACAGAGAGAGAGAGAGAGAGAGAAAGCGAGAAAGAGAGAAAGAGAGAGAGATAGAAACAAAGAGAACAAAGAGAGAGAGAGAGAGGGAGAGAGCGGGCCCACTGCACGCACCCAGGCGCTCGGCTTCCCTCCCCAGCGCGTCCTTGCCGAACGCCTCCGCGCCCTCGGCGAAGTGGCCTGCCGGCCGCCCCGCCCCTCGGGCAGACCGGCGCGGGCCCCGGCCGCAGCGGGGGCGACCCCGCGCCCCCGGGGGCGCGCCGGCGCGCCCCGGGGCGGCATCTGCGGGGGGCCCCGGGAGCCCCGGAGCGCGCAGCTGCGGAGGCCTTCTGGCAGGCTTGCGGCGAGGGCCGCGGAGGGGGAGCCAGTGCGCGCAGGGAGCCCCAGGATCTGGAGGCCGGCGGATCTCCCGTCGTGGACTGGCCGCGGATATCGCACCGCCGCCCTCATGAGATCAGGAGGCCTCCAGGGTCTGGAGCCTCCTGGGCGCATTCCTCAACGAACGCCCCCCCCCCCCCCTCTCCGCCGCCCCTGCAAGCATCCCTGGCCCGCAAAGGCGTGCAAGTGAGTCCAGCCATGCGTGGAGTCCAGAACTCCACTCGGGTCTCGCCACGCCTCCCGCACCCCTCCATGCAAGAACAAAAACCTGCCAGAATCCGAGCAGAAATTGCCTCCTGCCTACCCCGTCGCGCCGCTGTCTGCGTCGCACCCGTGCCGATCCACGTCGAGCGCCGAATTCCGCGTCGAGCTCGATCTGCCCAGCAGCCCCAAGGGGGGGACGCGGCGACAGTCTGCCGCCCGCATGCCACCTGCCGAGCGCACGCGCCCAGACCTCCGACGAGATATGCTGTTGCTGTTGTTGCTGCTTCTGTTGCTGTTGGTGGTGGTGTTGCTGCTGTTGGTGGTGCTGTTGCTGTTGTTGGTGTTGCTGTGATTGGTGTTGTTGTTGGTGATGTTGTTTGTGTTGTTGTTGTTGCTGTTGCTGTTGCTGTTGCTGTTATTGTTGTTGTTGTTGTTGTTGTTGTTGTTGTTGTTGTTGTTGTTGTTGTTGTTAGAGGTGGTGCTGGTGTTGATGTTGTTGTCATTGTTGTTCGTGCTGCTGTTACTGTTGTTGCTAATATTGTTGCTGTTGTTGCTGCTGCTGTTGCTGTTCCGCTGCAGCGCGGTATTCTCTCACTTCGGCATCGCCCTCGTGCGCTTCGCAGCCCCACGGGGGCTCAAGCTGAGGCCCAACTGCCAGGGCCCGCATGGCGTACGTCAGGTTCGTGTCGTGCCGACCTCGGCGTTGGTTTCTGACACCGCGGGGGTCGTTCAACCTTGAACGATCGGCCGGTTCCGAAACGTCCAAATCGTTCCACATCGAGCGATTCTGGGTCGCCCGCGGCGTTCAAAGTTGAACGCCACTGGCGGGGTCGCCGCCGGTCGACACGACACGAACCTGCCGTAGCACCCCTCACGCGTGTCGTGGCACCATAGATTCCGATTGAGGCTCCAGTGCCAAGGTCCGCATGGCGTCGCCGCCTCGTTTCGGCACACGCCTCACACGTTTCGTGGCCTTCGTAGCTGCCCCCATGGGAAAGGGGTCGGGAGCTATGGGGCCGCGGAATGGAGAAATCCGCTCGGAGGATGTCTGGGCATAGTCGCTGCCCCCCCCCCAGCAGGTTCAGGTCTGAGCGAGCACATGTTCAACGGAGGAGCCGTGCACCGATTTGAACATGCCACCGCACACAGGACAGCAATACACAAGATCGTGCAAGTGTAGCCGGCAAACGGCCGTTCAACCGCAACTCGAAAGTGCACCCTGGTACCATCGCGTGCATCGTTCGCGCTACTCGAACAGTTCCTGAACACCCCCCACAACCTGCAGCCGCCAGGGCAAGCCGTCATTGCCCTGCGCACTCCCAGACGAAACCGAGCCACGACAGATGTAGGCCTGCGGAACTGGACTTTTTGTTTTGTCCTTGCATCCCCATGCCGAG